GTGAGCCGCATGCTCGTTTGCCCCCTGTGTTGTAAAAAAAAAAAAAAAAAAAGGAGGACCACGTGGAGATCGACCTAACAGGGTTATATTGCTAGCAATAAGAATGGTAGTTTACTTTATTTATTTATTTATTCTTTATTGCACTATAAAACTCTGTACAAGTGGCGTGCTTGATGCCATATGGCATTCTCTACCAGCTAACCGTTAGGTGAAAACAGAAAGCGTATGAAGGGCAGATGTGGTGGGAAATATGTGACATAATCTATACTTCTAATAAATCTGTAGAGAGCTCAATTCTGTACATGAAATATATTTACAAAATAACTATTAGGCGGTGATTAGTGATCGATACTGATGCCAAAAATGCAATCAGTAAAATTTTACGTCTGCCTGTCTGTATGTTCGTTATAGAAACAAAAACTACTCGACGGATTTTAACGAAACAATTATTCTTCATAATCCTGGGCAGGTTATAGTATACTTTTCATCACGCTACGATCGATAGGAGCAGAGCAGTGAAGGGAAATGTGTCTGTTACATCAAAACCACTGAACCGTGAGGAAGGACATAGGCTGCTTATTTTACAAAAAACAACGAAAACGCGGACAAAGTCGCGGACAACAGCTAGTTGCTAATATATTTATATACAAAACATTTACTATATCTAAGTAAAAGAAATCGCCAACATAAATTAGTATTCCTGTAAAGTATTAAGATAATGCATTATTACAAGTATATATAAAGATACCTAATGTTTTAATACCGTGGATCAACTATACCGAGTTTGCAATACAACCCCTTAATTAGAACAATGTTATAAATATTCATAATTCAAAAACATAATATTTATTATACATATAATGGTAAAAATGTTTTACCTAAGCTTTTAATGTTCACCATTAAAAGCTTTGTACCAAAACGATCCATCGATAATTTACAAATCAGCCGTGAAGTTTTTTATTTGGGTAAAACCCAAAACCAAATATCTAAATATATATATGGTGCGCAGAGTACGTGCCAGCACCAACAGCATCCTGAGTATAATGGCAAGCAGGCTGCACTGTGTGTATGTTAATCGCTGCTTCGCAATTTCCAATGGAATTGTGCAGCGGTGATTATCTGTATACTACTTAATATATTGTATGTGTGTATGTGTGTGTATGTGTATTGTGTATGTAAATTTACTAACATTAGTTTTTAAGAATATTGTTACTAATAAATATTTAATGGACCAAAAAGTGGAGTAGGCCTATGTTCAGCAATAAAGAAACGGCTGACATAATGAAGTGCTTGTACTGCACAACAAACTTTTTCCCACTTCAAAAATGATGTAAATATATTATAATATATAGGGTACCTCCATATATTGTAAAGGATTAACGTGAGCTCCTTGACGTTCTTTAAAGTGAGTATTTTACCAGCGGAACTGTTTAATATAATCAAAGACATATGGGCTAAAAATTAATAAAAAATATAGAACCTCCCATATTAATGTCGCATTTTTTTTAATAGGTGAAAATGAAATAGTAACCAGTCTACGTTAATGGAATGCGCTGGAGGGACATTAATGAGGGATAATAGGTGAAAATGAAATTAGGTCAGTTTGCCCCACTTGCGGGGGAGGAGGGAAAGATTCATGTTGAGATATGGGGTCTACACAATTGCTTACAATATAAGAAATATTCAGGTCGACCTCCTCTTGGAAACCGTTGTAGTACATCATCATCATGTCAGCCCTTAACCGTCCTGTACTGAACATAAGCATCCCCATTGGGGGCCTATGCCAGTAGTTGCCACACTTGGCACGCAGATTACCAACCGCAGTTAGGCTTTAGAGATAATTTAAGAGGGACCCTGCTGCCCATCCCTCGCCCTCCCTTAGTCACCTCTTACGACATGGAAAAGGAAGGGATGGCCCATTTTTTGCCGAGACCATACAAGAAGTCTGTATATGATCATATACATTAAAATAAAATGTTTGAGGAGCGTGCCGCGTTAAAACAGAATATTTACTGTATTAAATTCAGTTGAAAAATAACTAAACCGACGCGTCAGCGCGAGCAGTCCGTCAACAATCGTCAAACAAACGGTAAACAGAACGGTTCGGCCGTAGTAAACGGCTTTACTGCGCCAAAACAAAAGGGGTGCTTAAAAACTGTTGTAAAAAGCAAATTAGGCGGAGCGTAAACGAAACGAAAACGAACGATAAAATATTGCACGCGTTAGGGATGGGCGACATTAGCAAAATATCGACATTCATATCGTCAGCGGTACTAATATCGAATATCGATAATCTGTTATTATTATAATTATTAAGTGCGTACTTTTTTAACGATTAATCGTATAACTGCCTGTTTTAATTTTTAAATATCAATTTAATTCACTTGAAAAGGTTTGCTGCAAGTAATCTCTTTTTAGAGATAAGCTCGCCTTTGTACGTTACATTTATAATTAATTGTTCCTATCATTATGTTTATGTACAATAAATAAAAAAAATTAAACATCTAACAAAAAAAAATTAATTAAAAAAACCGACACAAAAATAACCGACGTCAATTCTGACAAAATTAGTTATTTTAAATTTAAACTACTCAACCGATTTTAATAAAATTTCTATGGCACCAATCTATACTGCTGCACATTATAGATTGGTGCCATTAGGCTTTGGAAATGTTTGACAGATGCTGCTGCCCATCCCTCGCCTTCTCTTCTTACGACACCCACGGGAAAGGACATATGCTATATATATATATATATATATATATATATATATATATATATATATATATATATATATATATATATATATATATATATATATATATATATATATATATATATATATATATATATATATATTATTTTATTGCACTAAAACATACAGTAATAACAACAAAGTAATAACAAAGTTAATTAACAAATTTAATAGCAAAGGCGAACTTATCTCTAAACTTACTATGTCCCTGTTCTAGGATAGCGATACGTCGAGTCTGTTCCTAAGATATCATTATTTCCATAATTCGAATAAAGCAATATCGATATTTTACCGTTATTTTTATCGATATTTTGATAATATAGGTTCGATAAGTATCGCCCATGCCTAGTTCACGTTTCCCGCTGATTAAAATTTAGATGTTAAAACAATAAAGCAAAAAAGGATCTTCAAGGCCAAATGAAAATAATTATTTCTGATGATGATGATGATACAGCCCTTAACTGTCCACTGCTGACCATAAACCTCCCCCTTGGGAGGTTTACCAGTAGTTGTCTCGCTTGGCAAGCGGAGATAGTGCAAGCAAGGCAAGCCTTGTGCTTTGAACATTTTAATAGATAGATAGATAATTTATTTGCATTACTCACAGCACATAAATAACAATACAAACATACACATAATACAGACGTACACAGTAAAAGAAACAAAAGAATGGAAAACAAAAAAAAGCAACAAAAAAAAACAAAAAGCAAAATATATATAGTACCAATGTCCTTCTTTCTTGCGCGTGTTAGATATTTATTTTAAATTATATTAATTTTCTTAAATATCTTGTGTCAAAATGTGTACCTACATTTATTAATAAAAATCAGACTAACTACTTTAAATATAATAAAACGGTAAAATTGTTATTATACCGAATTTGGTAATAAAATATTCTTGTAATGTATATAGAACACTAATTTATATTTTAATTGATTTTATAATTATTTATTATCATGATACTTGAATAAAAAGTAATGAAATTGTAAGAACACGTGGTCTCACTGACTTGTCTACTCGAATTCGGCCGTGTAGATATAAAAGATTGTCATTTGGGTGGGGAGACACTTCTTGTCCAACCGTTGAACAGAGCGGACTTCCCCGACATATCAAGAGTGAACAAGTATAGCAAACCACGTGGTCATTATATAAAAAATATCACAGTTATTGTTGATGGAAGGCCTAAAGAGGCTATAGTTAAATAAGTGTCAATGGATTAACCGAAGTTGGGCATTTATGTTATATTATTTGTTATATATCAAATAAAAAGTAAAACAAGTAAATATATGATTTAATAGTATGATATCTAAATTAAATGAACTGTGAGAACTTGTGCTTTATTTCTATTTATTACCAAGAGGCTTACAACCTTTATATTGCTGAATAATATATAATAAAATATTATTAATAATAAATTGCCTTTCCAAGACGTATGCCATAGTAACACAAAATGGTTACAAATAACCTTTTTCTATTATATTTCTTTACAACCAGAGGGTGACTACAAAAGTATTCTTCTTAAGTACCTCTATTCCCCTCGAGTTTTTACTGCCAATCATCTGTACTTAGATGGAGAATAGGATATAGCAACGAAATTACAGGATATGGAGAAATAACGTCGTCCCTGGAGGAGAAAAGGATTTTTAATAATCTATATATGACAGCTTCATAGTTAGAAGTTATCAAGTCAACTATTTTTTTATACAACTTAGAATGGCAAACAAGCTGACGGCCCACCTGATGGAAAGTGGTAACCGTCGTCTATAGACATGAGCAGTACCATGGACATAACAGAGTATACTGTTTCGCCCATGATACCCCCATGCGTTGCCATTCCTGAGGACTCAGGTGTTATTCCTCTGTACCCTGTAAATTCACGCCATATCCCACCCTTCAAATCGAAACACAGCGATGCAAACACAACTGCTTCACGGTAGAAACACGAATGGGACAGAGGTACCCAAGCAATCGACTTTTGTACAAAGTCTCCCTCTGGTTAGTTTAGAAATGAAGGAGAAATCTGGCGGAGTGGCGAACGATTAATACATACAATTTTACTCCTTTAGTTAAACGCTGACGACCGACCGGAATCGCCACGCATGTAACACTGGCTCCCTTAACAAAAACTACTTAAAAATTAAAAAATTACCTCGTACCATGGACCGTTAGCTCCTTTGCCATTCCTAGTTCTATAAAAATACTACGTTAAAGAGAAATAAATCATCGAATCATTGTCTTGTTGCAGACACTCTGCTGTGGATGTGTCTAATGGAGCGAACAGAGAACACGAGAGCAGATGGCCCGCCGCGGACAACAATAGGTGAGTTGTTATTTAACACTGTTTCTTATGACTTTGGTCTTTTAGATCAATACAAAAGTATGCTATCTTTTAAGTTAGGACATAACCTACTCGTGTACCAAATTTCATTCAAATCCGTTTAGTAATTTTAAAATAAAAAACCTCTTTTCTTCGTTATAAACTTTTGAATTAATTACCTTAACCCTTTCAGAACTGAATTATTTTTTTTCATCCGATGGATTTGGTAAATTCCATGTGTCTAAAGTATAATAAGGAGACTATAAAAAAAATAAATAAATAAAATTTAGCTTTAAATTTTTCGAGGAAATCTAGTTTTTCTTAATGTGCACAAATGTGGACTCCTACATAGTAATAAGAATAAGGTATACGAAGTTGTTCTGAAATGAAATAATATTAATTTAAAAACATTTTTATTACAAAATTATAAATGAATTAACGTAGTTAAATTTTTTCTATGAGATAAAATAAATATTTATTAGTTTTTTGGCATAATCAGTTATTGGTACAAATATAAAAACACAGTAAGAACAATAATTAGGAAAAAAAAATCTTTATCTATGTGTGGAAAGCCAAGAAGCAATTCTTGTCTTTGGTTAGATATAAATGAACTTTGCATTTTACACGGGATTTTCCCTTGCATCTCATCATTCTACACCTAGTCCCAGTTCCATCGTCATGTTTAGGGAAATGCCCAACACCGTCACGAGTTATTTCAGCTGCAGGACGAATCTCTCCTGGCCTTCTTGGTATAATTTGCATCGTTGAGCTACTACTGCTACTTGGTCGACCTCTTTTGGTGGTAGAACATTTATCTTGTAGCACCAAACTGTCAGCCAAGCGACGACGAAAGTAAAGTAAGTCCTTGCTTTTTAGGTGTGCCGTTATAAGTCGTTATCTATTTGGTATTCTTGATATGCCTGAAGAACTCCCACATCCGATGCATAAAATATCATACACAGAGTAAATTTTTTTGATTCTATAAATGTTCTGTAATAGCTCATAAGTTGATCTAATAAATTAACGCCACCCATTGCATGATTATAGCGCTTTAAGACCTCAGGTCGCGCAACCTCAATATATCGCTTCTTTTTTTACACCATCTCTTTACTAAGTCCTTGTCACCTATACCAACAAAATTGGAAGCCAAATGGGTAATCTTATTGTCCAACCACTTTACATCAGTTACATCTCCGTCTCTGCTACATACTTCTTGAAAAAAACCCCTAGGCTTCTTATTTGTTACCTTGTCACTTAAAAACGGTGGTTTAACAAATCTGTTAACACGAGCTGTGCATGCGGCCATAATACCTTTTTGTTTTAGAATTTGTAGTAAATGGTATGATGAAAAATTATTGTCAAAGTAAAGCAGGGACGCCGTCATACAATTCGCTAGGTCCTTCATTGTCATCAAATTCAGGTGGAAAAAACTCCCTTTAGTTTTGGTAAATGACATCTGCCCTAATTCTAGCATTAGCTGCTAGATTCAATTTGCTGGACAAATTGAATCTCCATAATAATTATCTTCGTCATCAGATGATAATAATAAGTCAGAAAGATCTCCTTCATCTAATACTTGTAACGTCTCCAATGAGGACATATTGGTGTTTTTGCATCTGAAAATATAAGTAAACAATATCATAATTCATTTTATATATTTATCTTACAAACATGATTCACAAAACGTTAAAAATATAAACAAAACATATTTTTGTAAAAAACCGTGAACAATGAGAAAAACTCAGTTAAATCCTGATGGGAACAATTGAGCACAAATATAAAAATCGAGATTACCAATATAAGGTAATAAAAAAATACACAAATATTACGTTACACATGACCCCAATAATATTAGATATTCGTTTATATTTTTTCCAGATGATTTCATGTACTAATTTAATTTTTTTTAAATAAAATATAAAGCTCACCTGTACAGTTCAAATCACGCACGGACACTAGTCGCAAATTGTCGAAAAACGCTAGAATGTCCTAAAAAATGGCGTAAGTAGTATTAAATTGAGTAGTTTATTAGTGAACAAACGAATACAACCCCTTTTCAATCGGAAAGCTTGAGAGTTTAATATTTATTTTTTAAATTATATCTTATGTCTACAATTGTGCACGCCAGTTCTGAAAGGGTTAATGCGATATCACTTAAACAGTTCCATGAAAACTAACTTTAACTCGATGGTTTAAGTTCATCCAGCCTTTTATATATTTTTTTTTATACAACCTAGAATGGCAAACAAGCTGACGGCCCACCTAATGAAGAGTACTAACCGTCGCCTATAGACACGAGCAGTACCATGGACATAACAGAGTATACTGTTTCGCCCATGATACCCCCCATGCGTTGCCATTCCTGAGGACTCAGGTGCTATTCCTCTGTACCCAGTAAATTCACGCCATATCCCACCCTTCAAACCGAAACACAGCCATGCAAACACAACTGCTTCACGGTTGAAACACGAATGGGACAGAGGTACCCAAGCAATCGACTTTTTTTATCAATCAATGATAAAAAAAATGAATTTTAATATCCTTTACACGTAAGAGATTGCTTTTAGCGATATTGGCCCCCTTTTTTAATAACATATTCTGTATCAATATGTACTCGTAGGTTTACTTCCATTTTGTGCGCAATAAAGAAATTTGTAAATACAACATATATGTATTTTATAGCTAAATGTGAGCCACGGCTTCTCCGTGCAAATTATGTAAATGTACCCTATGTGTGTAGCCAAAATATTGGCTCGCACTGTGTTTATTTATTTATTTTTTGATGGGTGAAAATGGTATGGTAACCCCGCCTGCGCTAACGGGATACGCTGGCCGAGCACCAGTGAAGGGTGATAGATGAGAATGAAAACAGGCCAGTTAGCCCATCATGATGAATTCATCAGGAATTAACCATGATAGTTTCCAGGGGGACTTGCGTGGAGGTCGACTTGGTTGGGTATATTGCTAGCAATGGGATTCTCAGTCTCCATTACTAACAATCCCTTTCCCCCCACTGTGTTTATTTTAGAAATGTACATATCTTTAAGAATTTTAATATTTATAATGCTAAGAGTCATCATAACAGCTACCTACTGTCAACTACTCAATACAGGTCTCCCAAAAAAGGGGGTTTTGCCAATTTATATAATAATATATGCGGATTAGCAACCGCAATCAGACTTTGGTGATTTTCTAAGAGGGGCACAACAGTGGGCAGCAGCCCATCCCTCGACCATTAAGTCTAGTTATTAATATTTTGTCATATCTTTATTCACATATATATATATATATATATATATATATATATATATATATATATATATATATATATATATATATATATATATTGTTTGGTTGGTTATTGTTGTTAATTATTGCACTAAAATATACAGTAACAACAATAAGTTAATAACAATGTCAGCAAAGGCGAACTTATCTCTAAAAGAGATTCCTTCCAGTCAACCTAACGCAGTGGCATAGCAAGTAGTGAGTGGGCAGTAGTAGTGCAAGACAGAAATTAAAATAAATATTTACATAAGTTATAAATCATTATATATATTTGAAAGATACAATATTAATACATACATATGATGAATGTAAACCTACTATACTATCTATATATATATATATATATATATATATATATATATATATATATATGTGTGTGTGTGTGTGTTAAATACAACATATAAATATCAAATAAAAGAGAACACAATGATGACAGTCCTCTAATCATTTTTTATATTTAATGATCATACACATTCCCTTAGTCGCTTCTGCCAACAGCCACGGGAAAAGAAGCAGTGACCTACTCCACTCCGGGACCACATGGCAATATTAATAGTACCATAATCAGCCGTTAACTGCCCACTATTGGGCGGAATGGATTATTGGTAATGCAGACTACCAGTCCCACTGCTACCAATATACCCTGTCAGGTCGACCATCACGTGGTTCCCCCTGGAAACCATCATGTTGAATTCCAGATGTATTCATCACGGGCTATTTGACCTGCCTTTTCATTGTCACCTATAATACCTCACTGGTGCCCCGCCAGTGTATACCGATAGCACAGGCAGTGTTACCATTCCATTATCACCCATTAAAAATAACTGTCCACTATTGAACCTAGACCCTCCTCCAGAAAAAAAATATTGCCAGTAGTTGCCATGCTTGGCAAGCGTGTTAGGTAAATAATAAGAGCTTTCATATCAAATTCTCGATCCCAAATAGCACGTATATGTCAATAAACAATGATTGGTTGAATCCTCAACGCGTCCAAAGGATAAGAAACAAACCAACAAACCCAATTTCTTAGTATTAATTAGAACAAAAACGTATTCCAGCTATCCCCCCCCCCCCCCCCCGGTACCTGTAGATGCGTCAGACTTCGCTAATTAATTCCTTTATGTTTGCATAAAGCCTTATTACGTCCAAGAATAATTTCTTACCCGCACCCACTCGCAGGAGCTAATTTCCTTAAAAAGGTTGTCTAAAGTTTGCCGTCCGGATGAACCGCGAACTCAACTTGGCTAATTGTTCCTTTGCAATTTACAATTACTCCGTTGTATCTCCAGACGTTACTTTTCCGCGCTTATTTAACTTCCAACTCAAATTTGGTTTGTTTTAACTAAAATATATAAATTAAAAATATACACAGGTTAACGATGTAGATAGTTAAGAAGCAAAGTAAAAAAAGAAAATTGTTAGAAATGATGTACAAGTAAAGATCCTACGTACATTGTATGTATGAGAGTTTGTATATATTTCAGGATGTTTGTATGTAAGGAATTTTTTTTTTCAGGCAAACGAAAATGTTTTAATGTATTTTAATAAAAGGTACAAAAATGGAATTTTTTTTTTAATGGAAAAAGGTAAAGCTGAGAACTGGTTGGAAGAGAATGCATATTTTTTATACAACTTAGAATGGCAAACAAGCTGACGGCCCACCTGATGGAAAGTAGTAACCGTCGCCTATAGACATGAGCAGTACCATGGACATAACAGAGTATACTGTTTCACCCATGATACTCCCCATGCGTTGCCATTCCTGAGGACTCAGGTGTTATTCCTCTGTACCCTGTAAATTCACGCCATATCGTGGGATATGACGTGAATTCAAACCGAAACACAGTCATGCAAACACAACTGCTTCACGATAGAAACACGAATGGGACAGAGATACCCAAGCAATCGACTTTTGTACAAAGTATGGTATCCCTCTGGTAAGTAGGTATAAATTAATTACACCGACAAGAGTAAACTCTTATATGAGAAGAGAGAAGGGGAGAGGAACATATATACATACGTATCTAATCTACCAAATGTAGGTATGGTTCATCCCTGGGGTAGGTAGTGCGCCATTAGCGGCGGAAACAAAACAGGATTGTTATTCCAACTTTTAACTTCCCGAAACATTGTGCGGGTCAGAATATTAAACTTATACTTATTATTTGGAAATAATAAGTACTTACCAAATACTTACTATTTGGAATTTCGTGCATTTCCAACTCCAAACGGGCGGAGTGCTCTTTATTATATTGTCCAGGTAAATACATTTTACAAAAGAACTTTTATTTTACTGCTGCTATTTACATTTACTATATTTACTATTATATATATAATATTCGAAATAGAGTAGATATATTTTGTTTATTTGAAAGAACAAAATAGAAAAAACTTTTTTTGGTTTTTAAATAATTCAAAATGGCCGCCATTTTAATTATTATTTATATGTATATTAATTAGTAAGCAATACGTGCATATGTATATTATCGACTTGACCTAGAAAATATTTGATGCAATTACAAGCAACAAAGAAAAAATTCGCGTTTTGTATAGGTTTAAAAAAAAAAATGTCAACTAAACGTTAAATTTGCTGATGCTCTATCTATGTAATCTAAATATCGAGTCTTTGCCCCCAGGCTATCAACATACACGGCGACCGGTGATCGGTCGACTTTACTCAAATCGCACGCGGCCAAGTCTGCGGAATGCAGCGGGCAGGGCTCGCCGCGACCTCGACGCTTGCCGCGGGAGTCAAGGCGCGTCTCCCTCGCGCAGGTCTCCGGCTACGTGCAGCTCAACCAGTATCGCCTGCTCGAGCCTATTGGACAGGTTTGTAGCTCGTCATTATGGCCGGTATAGCGGGAAGTCTTCTTTCTTAAAACGTTCAGACCGACAACTACCAAATTCAATAATACACTATAGGTGACTGGTGGAAAATGCTATAAGCCGCCATCGTGGACGTACCAAGGAAGAGAGCAGGGGAACGTAGCAGTATGAAAATTGTATATAATTGAATTAAATATATTCAATATATTATGCGGTTTGAAGTGTGGGATATGTCAGTGAGTTTACAGGGTACAGAGGAATAACACCTGAGTCCTCAGGAATAGCGACGCAGTGGGGGGTATCATGGGCGAAACAATATGCTATGTTATGTCCATGGTACTTTCCATCAGTTGGGCCATCAGCAAATTTGTCATTCTAAGTCGCATAAAAAAAAGCTTGAAGCGAAGTATGAGAGGTTGGATATTTTTTGTAATTTTTTGCCTCAAGAATCTTTACGAAAAAATGCTTAATATTGCTGGTAGACCACTGATCAATTTTTAATGAATTGGCTTCAACCTGTAAAGTCGTGCTTTAAAAATCTATCTATCTATAATGGCATCCCTTTCCCCCCTACCAGGGGACTTGAATAACTTTAACAAACATACACCTACGCCTTATTCAGAGATTTTACGTAGAATACTTACTCTGCTCGTTTTAGAATGTCATAACCTATATTTACGCAAATGATCGCTTAATCTCAGAGTTTCACGCGTAAACCGTGGAATGACAGGGTTTATTTATTTATTTTGATACAAGCTGTTCAGATGGTTATATTAAGAAATAGAGGATAACTTTTACTAAATCTTATTTTATTTATAAACATTTTTTTATACAACTTAGAATGGGCAAACAAGCTGACGGTCCACCTGATGTAAAGTGGTAACCGTTGCCTATAGACACGAGCAGTATCATGGATATAACAGAGTATACTGTTTCGCCCATGATACCCCCCATGCGTTGTCATTTCTGACGACTCTGGTGTTATTCCTATTTTTAACATTGCAAACGCAAATGGTCCGAATGGGTAAGTCCAACTTCGACCGAGAGGTCAACCGACGAATCCTACTCGGCTGGGCAGCGTTCGGAAAACTACGCCACATCTTTTCATCCAAAATACTTCAAAATTTGAAGACGAAGGTCTTTAACCAGCGCATGTTGCCAGTGACGACGTATGGAACCGAAACATGGTCCTACACGATCTGCATGCAAAATCTGCATTGTATGAATTCAATTAAACACAACATAGCTATTATTTTAAATTCACAATCGGAATTTACCACGACGCAATTACAAGTAGTACTTCACGTATCTGATTTTTAAATCCGATGTTTCGACGTGGATTGCCACGTCGTGGTCACAGCAATACCTTTTCTTCTGTCAGCCCGCGCAGGTTCAGATATGTAGGTACTGTCTACCTGTAGCCGTGTTGCGTTAAGTCTTGATTGTTAATTTAAAACATGTATAAACATCGCGAAAAGTTAAAATAAACTAACATAACTATTTCCCATAAAAGATGACCGTTTATTGCATAACTAGCTTGTATTAATCGATGTAAACAGTGCTTTTTGATGCGATTTAACAACATAAACCTTTTTTTAAATCTCAAATACTTTTCTCTCAAAATTGAAACTATTTTGTTCATTTTTAGTTGGTCACAAACTTAAGTCGATTTTCACTACTAGGAGAAAATCTCCTCTGCTTTGCTACCTTTATTAGTATATTATTTTACTGTATTTATATACATCTGTGTGGTCCCGACAAAGAATGGGCCACCCTTTCCTTTCCCGTGGGTGTCGTAGGAGGCGACTAAAGGAACTTCATGATTGATGGAAGTAAAACAACGTCCCTCTTAAAACATCCCCAAAAGTCAAACTGCGGTTGCTAGCCCGCCTGCCAAACGTGTCAACTACTGGAAAACCTCCCCTCCTCCTCTCCTCCCCTTATAGAGGCTGAGTTATGTTCAGCAACGGACAGTTAACGGCTAAAATGAGAATTATGATTTATTTATCGCTATACAATTTACGAATATCGGCTGTCAAAAAAAGTACACCCAAACGAAGCCGGGACAGGAGCCTTATTTGTTGATAAATTTCGCTGCCACCTCCTTAGTTTAATAGCGTTATTGCAACGTTTATTTCACGTCATAATTTCTAAAATTTCACTCGCGTGCCTATAACGGTGACGTCGGCATGATAATTATTTTAAAAATATGATCGCGTGTGATTATCAAACGAAAATAGTTGGAATGTTTGTGAAGCGCTCGCTGTTTACGTATTTATTTCATATTTTAGACTCCAGTATTATGGAATGCGAGGCTACGGGAATAATAAGCTTTATCAATGATTTTCGTGCTACTAGAGAATAGAAAAAAAAAATTAACTGTACTAAAATAGAAATAAAAAATTACTTGATATATTTAACTGCACCAATATACAACAAGCAGTTGTTTGCATGGCTGTGTTTCAGTTTGAAGGGTGGGATATGGCGTGAATTTACAGGGTACAGAGGAATAACATGAGTCCTCAAGAATGGCAACGCATAGGGGGGTATCATGGGCGAAACAGTATACTCTGTTATGTCCATGGTACTGCTCATGTCTATAGGCGACGGTTATCACTTTCCATCAAGTGAGCCGTCAGCTTGTTTGCCATTCTAAGTTGTATAAAAAAAATACAAACGAATAAACAAAAACAAAGCGATAAAAACATACGTAAAATACAGAATTAATCTTTCAACCTTCCCAATCGGATTTATCCGAAAGAGAGCATTATGTATGTATTTATGTTTGTTTTTTATTCGTTTATAGAACTACCTAACGTTGACAGTGGGGGGAAGGGATTTTTAGTAATGGGGTCTAACTGACCAATTGCTAGTAATAGATAATACATTATGGTAACCCTATTCACGCAACAATACACCCTATCAGGTCGACCTCCACGTGGTTCCTCCTAGAAACTATCATGGTTAATTCTAGTTGAATTCGTCACGATAGGCTAACTGACCTGCTTTCATCGTCACCTATCATCCCTCACTGGTGCCCCGCCAGCGTATACCGATAGCGCAGGCGAGGTTACCATTCCATTATCATCCATTAAAAAAACCATGTTAACAGTAATAAAATAGAAACTAAATATAGAATAACAGTTGATAATAATTTAAAATTGCCTTTCATAGAAATATTTATAAATCTACTTCGCTTCTTTACAGGGTTCATACGGCATCGTGAAGTTAGCTTACAATGAAGAAGACGATACCCACTACGTAAGTACTATCAACTCCCAGCAGCAGTATTTCCGAACCGATACGACAACATAACCTTCAAGAAAAGAGCAGATTCCTTTTTTAAAAGGCCGGCAGCGCACCTGCAATGCCGCTAGTGTTGTGGGTGATCATGGGCGGCGGTAGTCACTTACCATCAGGTGAGACGCATGCTCGTTTGCCCCCTGCATTGTAAACAAAATTCAATTTATCTAATCACATCATTTCACCGTGTAGGTCCCGGCGTAGAATGGACCACCCCTTCCTTTCCCGTGGGTGTCGGAAGAGGCGACTAAGGAAGCACATAGTAGAGGGATGGGCAGCAGCGTCCCTCTAAAACATCTCTAAAGCCTGACTGCGGTTGCCAACTAGCCTGCCAAGCGTGGCAACTACTGTCAAAACTCCCCTTATGGGGAAGGCTTATGTTCAGCAGTGGACAGTTAACGGCAGAAATAAAATTACATCATTACCTTACCTCGGACATTCCATGCATATCAACCTAGCTAAATATTATGTCTGCCCAAAAATATATAAGATTACCACATGAACTTATTTATTTATTTTTATTTCACCCTTTGTTTTTTCACCGGAAACCCAAAAGTATATAATGGCAAACAATTTAAGTTTTTTTTTATACAACTTAGAATGGCAAACAAGCTGACGGCCCACCTGATGGAAAGTGGTAACCGTCGTCTATAGACATGAGCAGTACCGTGGACATAACAGAGTACACTGTTTCGCCTATGATACCCCCCATGCGTTGCCATTCCTGAGGACTCGGGTGTTATTCCTCTGTACACTGTAAATACTGTGGAATACAGTAGCATGAAGTACAGATTAAAATATATACATTGAGGACAGGCGTGACAGATGTGTACGTATGTATGTATGTAATATATACATAAAGTTACAAAACTTGCCATCTTCATCTCAATAAATTTCATTTAATTTCGTTTCTTTTGGTTTCATTTTATTTCGTACAAAAATGCCATATTTTTTTACAACTATCCTATTTGAGCCACAAAATGGGGGGTGAATTCAACTCAAAACAGGGGAGGAAGGGAGTGTTAGCAATGGAGTTTGACAGCCCCATTGCTAGCAATATGCCTTATAAGGTCGACCTCCACGTGGTTCCCCCTGGAAACCATCGTGAACAATTCTTGTTGAATTCGTCACGATGGGCTAACTGACCTGCTTCATCCTCACCTATCACCATTGACTGGTGCCCCGCCGGTGTATACCGATAGAGTGGGGTTATCATTCATTAAAAAAAAAAAAAACTCAAAACAGGGTAAAGAGTGGCGATGCTGTATTATTATACTGTGTCATTACTGTAGGACCGCATATAATAATATGACATTAAAAATCGACTTTAATATAATATAGAAGTAAAGTATCAAGTACTTTGCTTGAATCCATGGTGCGTTTTAGTTTCTCTGATGGCATATACAGTCAAATTGTTATCTTCTATGGCTCATCTTCTAGATCTTTCTTGACAAAGGTCGTTAACACGCAAATAATGCGTCCAATGTTGCACGCATCTTAGGCTCCGACAATCGGCACGCTTACCATCAGGCGGACTGTGTACTTAATTGCTACCCCAAAAACCCGTCCAAGCGAATCGTACAACTATCGCCCGGTTTAATGAATTTTGCCCTGCCTTTTTTTTCTAACATGTTATTATGCTATAGACATACGAATAAATAGACTTGGCAAAGTTTACACTCATACTTTTCTTTGTTAAGGTGGCCAATTATACTCATTTATTAAGTTTTGTTTTAATTTTTTTTCGCAAACCGTACTCTTTTCAAATGGTGTATTCTGAAAGTACTAATTTGTATAATTTTATACTCATTTAATTTCTAAAACATTTTTTTACATTATTTTATTTCAATTTTATTAATTAAATGTTTAAAATTATTTTGACAGTGATTTGAATTTCGCGCGCACATATGGCTGCCGTTTCCGGCACAATTGAGAGGCCGTATTATGTACCTGGAGAGATAGATAGATACTACAGACCTCTTTTTCTAACAACGTCAAATATACATTTGTGAAAAGAGATGGATATATCTATCTATACTTATAATAAATCTGTAGAGAGGTCAATTCTGTACATGAAATATATTTCCAAGATAACTATCAGGGGGTGATTAGTGATCGATACCGATGCCAAAAATGCAATCAGTAAAATTTTTGTCTGTCTGTCTGTATGTTCGTTATAGAAACAAATACTACGCGACGGATTTTAACGAAACTTGGTACAATTATTCTATATATAGGTTATAGTATACTTTTCATCACGCTACGATCAATTGGAGCAGAGCAGAGCAGTGAAGGGAAATGTTAAAAATGTCAACCCGTGCGACGCCGGAACGGGCCGCTAGTCTCCAATATTTGTGTATGTAATCCCCAGGCTGATATACGCAAAGTGTACTCTTTTTGAACAAAAAATAGTTGGGGCCACCTTATCTTTGTAAATGTGAGGGTTACCATTTAACAAATAGATCTATGAAATAAAACATCAATCGAATGTTAAATATTACACCCGTGCAAAACAAGGGCGGGGCAGCTCCGATCCGACTAGTTGCTAAGGCTGTTGCTTACAAGCCCTAACTAATTTAGCTCTCAAAAGAACATACAACGTAGTAACGTAACCTTTTTTTTTATGGATGTTAATGGAATGGTAACCCCACCCGCGCTATCGGTATACACCGGCGGGGCACCAGTGAAGGATGATAGGTGAGGGTGAAGCAGGTCAGTTAGCCCATCATGACGAATTCAATAAGAATTGTTCACGATGGTTTCCAGGGGAACCACGTGGAGGTCGACCTAATAGGGCATATTGCTAGCAATGGGGCTGTCAATCTCCATTGCTAACAATCCCTTTCCCCCCAGTAACGTAACGTTAGGGCATCCATTATATATTAGTATCTATACATTTTAAAATAACTACTTAATTTATTATTAATATAAGTAATATTTATGTTTTATATGTGTATTTCTTATGTATTATTATGTATAATTATTTCAGTATGTTGCTATAATTATGTCACATATTTCCCACCACATCTGCCCTTCATACGCTTTCTGTTTTCACCTAATGGTTAGCTGGTGGAGAATGCCATATGCCATCAAGCACGTCACGTGTACAAAGTGTTTATTTATTTATTATTTATTTATTCATTAGTACATATATGTGTACATGGCGGACTTAATGCTAAAAGCATTCTCTCCCAGTCAACCATAGGGAAGTGTCAGAATACTCGAATGCGGTACTACTAATTATTGATATACATACATACTAAAATTACATATATTACATTACATATAAAGTTTTATTGTGTAATAATGAATAAATAAATAAATAAATAAAAAATTCTAGCACACACAATACTTTAAATACTGATCCACGTGGATAAAGCCACGGGACATAACTAGATTTAATATAAACAAGAATTCACAGGAATATAATATCAATTTATATACATAACATATACTTATGCTAAAGGTATACGCAATGTATGTCAAATATGTAAACATTTGTAAACTCACGAAGTCGAGAGACATGTAAGCTTTAAATGTTTAATATCTCTCGGATACGAGACAGTCACACGCGTTCTATTGCTTACTTTACGTCTCGTGATCGTTGGATAACATATCGAAGAAGACTATTGTAATTAATTCATTAATGAAATATATTATTTATGCATCATTTATATAAGTATGTATCTATATAATACAATTTTACCTTTGGCTGTTAAATTGGCTACACAGGTTACACTCTGGGTTTGTTGCACGCGTCCGTGTAGCCTAACTTCAGGCTGCAGCTGAAAATCAGTGGTTTGCTTTCAAGCAAAACCATCACTGAGCTGTAACCTATTTGGGTCACTGCGACACACGTGGCGAAAACATATTTTATCTTTTGTTGTTTTTTATCTATTTTAAAAAGTGTTAATAATTTGATTGTATAAACTCATTTGTAAATTTACGTGTGTCATAAATGGCTCAAATAAAAAGTTTATCTATCTAATTAACACAGTTTATTGCCAAGAATAACTCCAATAAATGTGCTGTTATAAACGGAAGAATATATTTATTTATTTTTATTTATTTAATTTTTATTTATTTATCTCAACGGAATTATTAATCGTATTTGAAATAAATTCTTTTTTTATACTATAGAAGTATAAAAAAAATACTGATACCATTAAGAGACTACCGACTAAAGCGACTTTAAAAAAACTCGTTCATGTCACAGTAACTCATGACTAAGGATCACGAATTGATTCCGAAACTAGTCGAGCTTGTTTGCTCTAATTACACGTAAGTTAAACCGGTAGTTATTAAATTAAAAACGTTTATGCGTACTTTTATAGTTTATCCGAGCAGTAAGTACTATATCTTATTCTCATTGTTATGTATAATACTGTATATTTTTTATATATATATATATATATATATGTATGATTGTATATGTATGTATATATATATATATATATGTATATGTATGTATATGTATATATTTTTATGATATTTTCTGTGCATATCAGGTAAGTCTGAGAATCGGCCAACATCTATTTTTCACACTCCTCAATGATAAGGGTAACCCACCCCTTTTTCCGTTGCCATTCCTGAGGACTCAGGTGTTATTCCTCTGTACCCAGTAAATTCACGCCATATCCCACCCTTCAAACCGAAACACAGCCATGCAAACACAACTGCTTCACGGTTGAAACACGAATGGGACAGAGGTACCCAAGCAATCGACTTTTGTACAAAGTCTCCCTCTGGTAAATTATTATGTACTAATGAATAAATAAATAAATAGATAAGGTACGTTGCCGATCCTGAAGAAACCTTAATACACCTTTTATGAGGAATCCTATACTGTAGTCTTTAAAGAAAATTGAAACCCTTTTGAATTTGATAGCTCATTCCTCGAATAATATTGTTTTGTAGAATGTTTAACATCACGATACGACTACAGGCGAAGCCGCGAGATATAGCTAATGAAGTGTATAAGTGTTTCAAATTATGTTTACTGTGAATCCTATATTAATGTTTAATTACTTTTTTCTAAAGTGTTACAATAATTCTCCTAATATTTGAGTAAAAACCATGGCTTTCAAACTCACCATGTGTCGAGAGATATTAATTGCCCAGATGGAGTTACGACCTCGTATAGAAGGCTGTTAGATACAGGTGGCTCGGGACCGTTCCTCCTCTAAAGTGCAATTAATCTCTTAGCCAATTGCACAAAAAATATAGTTCAAGTAATGATGAACTAAAAGGAAAACATAGAGAATGTACGAACGCAACTAAACAACAAATAAAAATCGGTAAAAAAACTTTTAAGTTAAACGGTTTTATTTTATGTGCACTGAAAACTACAAAATAAATAAATAGTTACTTACCTATCAACCTACGTAGGTGATCTCGGTCATTAATATCTCTGATGGTAGTGGTTGTCATAACATGAACCATGTCAGCGGCCGAAAGGCAGTTCATGAGAGAACACTAACACCAGGGTTTGCTTGGTAGGTAAACTAAGCAGCCCGCACTATAACAAGTAGGTATTTTGACCTTCTAGTTCAGAAATATTTTAGTACTAGGCAGAATAGCTTTTAGGCATATTAGACTAAAATAAAAACGTGGGGCCCCTCTGAAATCATACCTGTAGCAGAGCATATCTTATACTTTGGTAGATCATGAGCTCGGCGTTCGCTGGTGAAGCCGTAACGGCTGGTTATTGATGGTCAAAACCTCGAGTGACGTCGAGTGTCGAGTGTCTGAGTGTCTAGTGTCTGGTGTTTAGTGTCTGAGTGTCGAGTGTCGAGTGTCAGAGTGTCTAGTGTCTGGGTGTCTGAGTGTCAAGTGTCTGAGAGTCTAGTGTCTGAGTGTCTTGTATCCGAGTGTCCAGTGTCTGAGTGTCTAGTGTCTAGTGTCTAGTGTTTAGTGTCTGAGTGTCAAATGTCAAGTGTCGAGTGTCGGGGGTCGAGTGTCTAGTGTCTGAGTGTCGAGTGTCGAGTGTCTAGTGACGAGTGTCTAGTGTCTAGTGTCTGAGTGTCTAGTGTCTGAGTGTCGAGTGTCTGAGTGTCTTGTGTCTAAGTGTCGAGTGTCGAGTGTCGAGTGTCGAGTGTCAAGTGTCGAGTGTCGAGTTTCGACTGTCTAGTGTCTGAGTCTCTAGTGTCTGAGTGTCTAGTGTCTAGGTGCCTGAGTGTCAAGTGTCTGAGAGTCTAGTGTCTGAGTGTCTTATATCCGAGTGTCGGAGTGTCTAGTGTCTAGTGTTTAGTATTTGAGTGTCGAGTGTCGAGTGTCTAGTGTCTGAGTGTCGAGTGTCTGAGTGTCTAGTGTCTAGTGTCTAGTGTTTAGTGTCTGAGTGCCGAGTGTCGAGTGTCGAGTGTCGAGTGTCGGGTGTCGGGTGTCGAGTGTCGAGTGTCGAGTGTCGAGTGTCGAGTGTCGAGTGTCGAGTGATGTCGAGTGTCTGAGTGTCTTGTGTCTGGTGTTTAGTGTCTGAGTGTCGAGTGTCGAGTATCGAGTGTCTAGTGTCTGAGTGTCTAGTGTCCGAGTGTCTAGTGTCTGAGTGTCTTGTATCCGAGTGTCTAGTGTCTGTGTGTCTAGGGTGTGAGTGTCTGAGTGTCTAGTGTCTGAGGGTCTAGCGTCTGAGTGTCTAGTGTCGAGTGTCGAGTGTCAAGTGTCGAGTGTCGAGTTTCGAGTATCTAGTGTCTAGTGTCTGAGTGTCTAGTGTCTGAGTGTCTAGTGTCTGGGTGTCTGAGTGTCAAGTGTCTGAGAGTCTAGTGTCTGAGTGTCTTATATCCAGTGTCGGAGTGTCTAGTGTCTAGTGTTTAGTATTTGAGTGTCGAGTGTCGAGTGTCGAGTGTCTAGTGTCTGAGTGTCGAGTGTCTGAGTGTCTAGAGTCTAGTGTCTAGTGTTTAGTGTCTGAGTGTCGAGTGTCAAGTGTCGAGTGTCGGGGGTCGAGTGTCGAGTGTCGAGTGTCGAGTGTCTGAGTATCTAGTGTCTGGATGTCTGAGTGTCTAGTGTCTAGTGTTTAGTATCTGAGTGTCGAGTGTCGAGTGTCGAGTGTCTAGTGTCTGAGTGTCGAGTGTCTGAGTGTCTAGTGTCTAGTGTTTAGTGTCTGAGTGTCGAGTGTCGAGTGTCGAGTATCGAGTGTCGAGTGTCTAGTGACGAGTGTCTAGTGTCTAGTGTCTGAGTGTCTAGGGTCTGAGTGTCTGAGTGTCTAGTGTCTAAGGGTCTAGCGTCTGAGTGTCTAGTGTCGAGTGTCGAGTGTCAAGTGTCGAGTGTCGAGTTTCGAGTGTCTAGTGTCTGAGTGTCTAGTGTCTGAGTGTCTAGTGTCTGAGTGTCTAGTGTCTGGGTGTCTGAGTGTCAAGTGTCTGAGAGTCTAGTGTCTGAGTGTCTTATATCCGAGTGTCGGAGTGTCTAGTGTCTAGTGTTTAGTATTTGAGTGTCGAGTGTCGAGTGTCGAGTGTCTAGTGTCTGAGTGTCGAGTGTCGAGTGTCTGAGTGTCTAGTGTCTAGTGTCTAGTGTCTAGTGTTTAGTGTCTGAGTGTCGAGTGTCAAGTGTCGAGTGTCGGGGGTCGAGTGTCGAGTGTCGAGTGTCGAGTGTCGAGTGTCGAGTGACGTCGAGTGTCGAGTGTCTGAGTGTCTAGTATCTGGTGTTTAGTGTCTGAGTGTCGAGTGTCGAGTGTCAGAGTGTCTAGTGTCTGGGTGTCTGAGAGTCAAGTGTCTGAGAGTCTAGTGTCTGAGTGTCTTGTATCCGAGTGTCCAGTAGACACTGGAGTGTCTAGTGTCTGGATGTCTGAGTGTCTAGTGTTTAGTATCTGAGTGTCTAGTGTTTGAGTGTCTAGTGTCTGAGTGTCTAGTGTCTGAGTGTCTAGTGTCTGAGTGTCTAGTGTCTGAGTGTCTAGTGTCTGAGTGTCTAGTGTCTGAGTGTCTAGTGTCTGAGTGTCTAGTGTCTGAGTGTCTAGTGTCTGAGTGTCTAGTGTCTGAGTGTCTAGTGTCTGAGTGTCTTGTGTCTGGTGTTTAGTGTCTGAGTGTCGAGTGTCGCGTGTCGAGTGTCTAGTGTCTGAGTGTCTAGTGTCCGAGTGTCTAGTGTCTGAGTGTCTTGTATCCGAGTGTCTAGTGTCTGTGTGTCTAGGGTCTGAGTGTCTGAGTGTCTAGTGTCTGAGGGTCTAGCGTCTGAGTGTCTAGTGTCCGAGTGTCTAGTGTCTGGGTGTCTCAGTGTAGTCCTATTATTTGATACCCATATTGTGGTGGTTGTGGAAAAATATGTACCTAGTCCGCCATATTGGAACGGCGTCCATCTTGAATTTTAAATTTTGACATAATCATCGTGTTTTACTAGTGTAGCCCTTTCATTTGATACCCATATTGCGGGGTTTAAGGAAAAATATGTAATCCGCCATTTTGTATCGGCGGCCATCTTAGATTTATAATGTTATTGATTTTATTATATTATATTGTCATCTAAATTAAATGTGTGTACCAAATTTCAGATCAATCTGACAACGGGAAGGTGCTTAAATACCAATTTCTAATTTTGACCCAAATAAATAAATACCGTACAGGTCGAGCTAAATAAAACCGTTTAAAAAGCATGTTAATTTGTTGCTCTGCTGCGATCACATTTTCTCTTGAGAAATTTGAAGAGTTACGGAAAGACAAGGATTCGTTTGCTTTGTCTCATTGGAATTTAAAAAGATCGACGGGTACGTTCAGGGAATTAGATAGGTTGAAATGTATGGTAATGTATACCACAGTTATTCGAGAAGGAGATTTTAAAAGGAACTTCTCCTAGACAGACTTACTAGAGGGAGACTTTGTACAAAAGTCGATTGCATGAGTACCTCTGTCCCATTCGTGTTTCAACCATGAAGCAGTTGTGTTTGCATAGCTATGTTTCGGTCTGAAGGGTGGGATATGGCGTGAATTTACAGGGTACAGAGGAATAACACCTGAGTACTCAGGTATGGCAACGCATGGGGGGTATCATGGGCGAAACAGTATCTCTGTTATGTCCATGGTACTGCTCATGTCTATCGACGGTTACCACTTTCCATCAGGTGGGCCGTCAGCTTGTTTGCCATTCTAAGTTGTATAAGACTTTTGTACAAAGTCTCCCTCTGGTCGCCATCTATTAAATGTACTTAGAAGTAGCGATTCGTATACAAAATTACTCGTAACTATTTTTAATTTGGCAACTTTTTAGCTGAAGTTTACAGGTTTTTACTGATTTTTTTTCTTTTGAACCACCTCTGTATTATAACGAATAAAATAAAAAAAGAAATATTAAAATCGGACAAGTTGTTTTTGAGTTTTAGCGAGACTAACGAACAGCAATTGATGTATTATTTCATCATATCAGCATTTAACTGCCCACAGCTGGACATAAGCCTCCCCCTTTGGAGGGTTTACCAGTAGTTGCCACGCTTAGCAGACGGATTGGCAACCACAGTTAGGCTTTCGAGATATTTTAAGAGGGATGCTTCTGTCCATCTCTCACCCTTCCTTAAACCCCTCGCCTCTTACGACACCCACGAGAAAGGAAGGGGTGGCCCATTCTATGCCGGGACCACGCGGCAATTATATCATATATGTCTATTTTATATTTTTTCTGTCAACAGGCAATGAAAATTCTGTCAAAACGCAAGCTGATGCGGCGAGCCGGTTTGTTCGGCAGGACGCCCCCCAGACGACCGGGGCCGGGCCCCCCGCCGGACCCCCTGCAGCGGGTTTACCGGGAGATCGCCGTGCTCAAGAAGTTGGACCACCCCAATGTTGTTAAATTAGTTGAGGTAAGTCTTTATTTACAAACTTCAGAATGTTAATCCTCCCTAACGGTGTGGACTAGTTGTGGTGAATGTTTTTGTTTTTTAGGGTTCCGTACCAAGAAGGTACAAAGAAACCGAAGACTTTACACGTACGTCCATGTGTCCGTCTGTTACAGCACTATATCTTTGCAACTACTAATGCTATTAATTGGAAATTCCGAATATATTTCTTTGTAAATATGTAATATATTCACTGATGAGGCAAAAAGTGGCCTATATTTTGCTCCATGATGCGTAAATATATCGTATATAGCAGGGATGGCGGACTTGACTAGACCCAAGTTTTTTTTTTTTTTTATACGACTTAGAACGGCAAACAAACTGACGGCCCACCTGATGGAAAGTGGTGACCGTCGCATATAGACATGAGCAGTACCATGGACATAACAGAGTGTACTGTTTCGCCTATGATACCTCCCATGCGTTGCCATTCCTGAAGATTCAGGTCTTATTCCTCTGTACCCTGTAAATTCACGCTATATCCCACCCTTCAAACCGAAACACAGCCATGCAAACACAACTGCTTCACGGTTGAAACACGAATAGGACAGAGGTACCCAAGCAAACGACATTTGTACAGTCTCCCTCTGGATCTACTGTTTACTGACTAAACCCTGTGCGATCTACCAATTACATACGTCTTGAAATCTCAAATGAAACAACATAGTTCAGTAGATCTTCCGCTAGATTCTTTTTATGGGTGAAAATAGCATGGTAACCCCGCCTGCGCTAACGGGATACGCTGGCGGAGCACCAATGAAGGGTGATAGATGAGAATGAAAACACGCCAGTTAGCCCATCATGATAAATTCATCAGGAATTAACCATGATAGTTTCCAGGGGGAAGCGCGAGGAGGTCGACCTAGTTGGGTATATTGCTTGCTAGTGTCGTAAGAGGCGACTAAGGACTTAATATTAGAGAGATTGGCAGTAGCGTCCTTCTTAAAACATCTCCAAAGCCTATTTCGAATATTAAATATAAATATATAAGCACCCCTTCCTTTCCTGTGAATGTCGTAATAGGCGACTAAGGGAGGACCCCTTAAAACGTCCTTAAAAGCCTAAAACCCGCCTGCCAAGCGTGGCAACAACTGACGTAATTCCCCTTATGGGAAAAGCTTATGTTCAACAATGGAACTGCTCAATAATGTTAATAAAAAGCAAGGCAGAAGCTCCAATTTCGACCATTAAATATGTAAACCTGTGGCATATCAAAGCAAGAAGTAATAAATTATAATATTCAGTAATTAGCTATGAATAATTTCGTCTGTATGTATAAATTCGAGCACGTTTTAATTAATACGTAAGTTAGGTACGCTATTTGAGACTAAAACAATATAGAATTCGTAATATATTTGATGAGCCTTTACGACCATACAATCGTACCTGACAACAGCGTTCTATTTTCAATACGACACCTAATTAAGCTATTTCTAAACGTGACAAGTGTCTGTCGCCTGATCTCGTATCATTTGTTATATTATGTCACAGTGTAATTACGAACAAAATAAAAACAAATAGCATTTTTGTAGACGAGTCTTTGTAAACAAGATGGAATGTAAATTTTTTTTTTTTTTTTTTTTTTTTTTTTTTCTGAATGTGTTTGCTGTTGGCCGTGTGTGGCCTTTACAGCTTCACCGGACGCGAATGCAGGGGCGAGTGCTGATGGACCCAGCCCGCGAAAGGACAAGGTGTCGACTCTTTCTTATGGACTGCGGTGTGTGTGTGCGCCTAAGGGCGACATGAGCAGTACCACCCCCGTCGAGGGACATTACGGTACGTCTGGGTGGGTGAGATTGCGACGCGGTTGTTATGCGCTCGGGCGCAAATGATCGCGCGCGGACCGTGTAACGTTCTTCGCCCCGCCGGCGGGGGCGGTGTGTGCAGGTGTGGGTGTGTTTGTCCTCTTGTAGGGTTCCTCTAAGAACATACGTTTTTTTGGATATCGGGGTAATTGCCTCAACGTTTTACGTTCTCTTGTTTTAAACCGCTCTTATTAAGCGGATTTGAATGGGACTCGGCTGAGGCAAAGTAGCGTCGAGACGCTTGCTTAGTAATCCTTATAGTGGGTATTTTGAGGTCGCGGTGTAATCCACGTTGCGCACGTACCAAGATTTATATTTTGCAACACATATATATATATATATATATATATATATATATATATATATATATATATATATATATATATATATATATATATATATATATATATATATATATATATATATATATATATATATAGGTATTTGGCTTCGTTCGTCCAGGGGACTATTACATGAATAGAGGCGGGTATATTTTCTTTTGGCCGTAAATACGGCGGCGCTAATATATTGGGTTGACTTCGATGCGCCATTTTCTGAACCATAGGCCAGCTCGTCCACCGCCCGTTAATGTTGGCTGCACAGGCTCATTTAATGACATAGGGCTGTATCATCAATTTAATTATATTTTAATGTCGTTGGTGTACAACAAACACAAGCTCTAATCGGTCGTGCGCTGGAACGCACTCCATTGACGCGATAGCGATATGACCTATTGGACAAGAAGGCTCGTATGATGTGCACGAGCCTGTCTGGCACTCCCATCTTGTGCAGTTTGAAAATCAAGCCGCTGTGCCAGACTTTGTCAAAGGCCTTCGCTACGTCGAGAAACAGGGCACATGTGACCCCGTTGGATTTCAGGTGTCGGGCGTTGAGATGGAATGTAAACCATTAGTTGTATTTTTTATGCAACTTAGAATGGCAAACAAGCTGACGACCCACCTAAAGGAAAGTAGTAACCGTCGCCTGTAGACATGAGCAGTACCATGGACATTACAAAGTATACTGTTTCGCCCATGCTACCCCCCATGTAACATATTGCCATTCCTAAGGAGTCCGGTGTTATTCCTCAATACCATGTAAATTCACTGACATATCCCACCCTTCAAACCGAAACACAGCCATGCAAATGCAATTCATGCGTTGCCATTCCTGAGGACTCAGGTGTTATTCCTCTGTACTCTAAGAACATACTTTTTTATAATAATTTCAACGTTTTATTGTTTTAAAATATCTATTAAAAATTCATAACCGTTCAAATCCCGGATTCCGCTAGTAATCCACGCACTGAATTCCTTTTTAATAGTTCTAGCACGAAAGATTTATATTTTAACACACATATATATATATATACTAATATATTTTATTATGCTATTATTCATATTGTTAATATCTTTACTCATTTAATGGCATTTAATAATTTAATTATATTTTAATGTTTATCAAACACAAGGCACGCTGTGGTTGCCTATAAATGTAAGAACAGTTAGATCTAATCTACCAGTGTATTGTATTGAAATGTTTAGCTGTATCTTATGTTGGTAATACTATAAATAAATAAATAAATTATGTTTTGATGTAATAATACATTTGTTAAAACCTAACTAGCCCAGAAGACGTTCTGTCAAAATGTATTGAAACATCTTAATTTGCAGCTACGAACAGTTTGTATGGGGAAAAGAAAATAAGAGTTTGACATTTTTCTCATTTCAAAATTCAGTCTTCAATGAATATATGAAAAACTAAATAGTTTAATTCGTTGAGTTATTTTACCAGAGGGAGACTTTGTATAAAAGTCGATTGCTTGGGTACCTCTGTCCCATTCGTGTTTCAACCGTGAAGCAGTTTTGTTTGCATGGCTGTGTTTCGGTTTGAAGGGTGGGATAAGTGGTTTACTGGGTACAGAGGAATAAATGTCCTCGGCAACGGGTATCTCGAAATATACTCTGTTATTCCATGGTGTTCTATAGGCGACTTTACCACTTTCCATCAGGTGGACCGTCAGCTTGTTTGCCATTCTAAGTTGTATAAAAAAAAAATTTCGAATTTTGCGCTTAACAACACATTCGAAGTGTTTAATAAAAGAAAAAGTCCCCAATTCGGTTTTTTTTTTAATGGGTGATAATGGAATGGTTGACCCCGCCTTGCTGTCGGTATAGCAACCAGTGATGGATGATAAAAGTTTCAGTTAGCCCATCGTGACGAATTCAACAAGAATTGTTAATGGTTTCAAAACTGTCAAACTCCATTGCTAACAATCCCTTAAAATTCGGTTGTATTTATTTTATGTTTGTAACCTCATAACTCCATCAGTTCTAAATCGATTTGAATTTTTTTTTTTTATCTAAAAGTATACACTGACAGATTGGTTCCGTAGAAATTTTATCAATATCGCTTTAATAGTTTAGTTTTTAAACCATAATAATTGGTTTTATTCATAATAAACATAGAGTATTTATCTTCAAACAGGTATTAGACGATCCCGCGGAAGACCAGCTGTACTTGGTATTCCAACTGCTAGAAGGAGGTCCCGTCATCGACATACCTACGGACAATCCACTGAGCGAACATCTCGCCAGGAAATATTTTAGGGATGCTGTCCTCGGCGTGGAATATTGTAAGTACGAGAATTTATGTCTTTTTTTTTAATGAGTGGTAATGGAAAGGTAACCCCGCCTGCGCTAACGGTATACGCTAACGGGGCACCAGTGAGGAATGATAGGTGAGGATGAAAAGACAGATCAGTTAGCCCATCGTGATGAATACACTTGGAATTCAGCACGATGGTTTCTAGAAGGGACCACGGGGATGTCGAGCTGTTACGGTATATTGTTAGCAATGGAACTGATAATCTGCATTACTAACAATCCCTTCCCTCCTCGAATATTTTCCTTTCCCTCGATTATTTTCCTAACCACCTTTGTTCCAAATAAAAATAAGTCATTCGTAGTTTGCACGCTAAATGGACAACACTAGGCACCGCGCTGCAATCTATTAATTTACCTGAAGATGCCTCGTGTATATAAAACATGTGTCGCGAAATATACGTGGAGGGAATGGCGATCGGAGATTGATAACTAATATGAAAGGTTTTAGAACTTCTAACAACAATAATAGAAGTCAATCTTCGAGTGTTGGCAGTCGCACACATACTAATGGTAGCGGAATTAAACAAAATAATTGCAATCGAATTAGTAATATGGACGCACGCGTAATACCTCTGGTGTTGCAGGTGTTCATAGGCTACGGTAACCGCTTACCATCAAGTGGGCCATATGCTTGTTTGCCATCTCAGTGGTATAAAAAACAAAACCAAATTAAATAAAATATGGGTTGGATAATAATATGGCAATTAAATTACAGGGTAGGGAACTCCGGAGGCAGAATACAGTTTTCACACATGTGTGACCAGTATACCCACCATGAGTATAACAGAGTATTCTAAAATGTCTATGGTTCATGTCCATAGATGACGGTTATTTGAATCCTGTCATATTCCTGTTTAAAACACACGCAAATGCACCAATATCCTAGTCTCCGAGCTGAAACACCCTTTGTTTGGAGGAATCGGGCAGAATATATCTGGAGATACAACCCAGAATATTCAGCCCCTAGCATGTTCAGAAAAGATTATTTCCTTAATTGACCAGACCAGGAATCGAACTCAGGACCTAATTAATGCAAACCTTTACCAGTGGGAGACTTTGTACAAAAGTCGATTGCTTGTGTACCTCTGTTCCATTCGTGTTTCCACCGTGAAGCAGTTGTGATTGCAGCGCTGTGTTTCGGTTTGAAGGGTGGGATATAGCGTGAATTTACTGGGTACAGAGGAATAACACCTGAGTCCTCAGGAATGGCAACGTATGGGGGGTATCATGGGCGAAACAGTTTACTCTGTTATGTGCATGGTACTGCTCATGTGTATAGGCGACGGTTACCACTTTCCATCAGGTGAACCGTCAGCTTGTTTGCCATTCTAAGTTGTATAAAAAAAACCTACTATGGCATCACGAAGGTCGTCATTGTTTAATATTTTAAAGTTCCGTCGCTTGTCTGTGTGTTCTCATAGTTTTAGTCTATGTTATGTCTAGATTAATTTATAATACCTAATTATTTATATTAATAATTCATATTTATGAGTAAATAAGCTGAACACACAAAATATAATAAAAAATTTATTTATCTTGGAAAATTAAATTAAAAAAAGATCTATATTTATGTTACTGTATTTCACTTGAATTATTCACTTGTCATTATATATTTTTATTTATGGTGCAATAAAGAGTTAAATAAATAAAATAAATAAATAAAAAAAGATGACAATGACGAACATTGCTCAGCCAATTCGTACGGCTTTATTCTATAGCAATATATATTTCTAAACCGCTGAGCTGTAAACTTAGGTTATTCTGATACTTATTTGGATTAGTTGGTATCTATATCGCCACAATAAGCCAACTGGCCTCACTTCACACCTATCATCACTCACTGACACTCCGCCATTGCGAAATAGTTTTTTTTTAATGGGTGAAATTGATATGGTAACGCCGCCTGCGCTAACGGGATACGCTGGCGGAGCACCAGTGAAGGGTGATAGATGAGAATGAAAACAGGCCAGTTAGCCCATCATGATGAATTCATCAGGAATTAACCATGATAGTTTCCAGGGACAACCGCCAGGTGGTCGACCTGGTTGGGTATATTGCTAGCAATAGGTTTCTCAGTCTCCATTACTAACAATCCCTTTCCCCCCTGCGAAAATGTATTATTGTTACATATGATCAACGTTATCAAATAATCATGTAGTCGATTTAGAATCATCGTCATCATGAATCATGTAGTAGATCGATTCTTTTCTCCTACATTCTTCACGACTCTGGAACGCACTTCCTGATACCACTGAGAGACTACTGAGACTAAGACTGAGAGACTTTTTACTTTATCTGAGCAGTGAATACTTTATATTATTCTTTAATTCGTATAAAATATAGTATATGTCATATATGTGTAAATATATTTGTTATTTACATATATTTATTCGTTTATATATGTAATTTTAGTATGTATGTATATCAATAATTACTAGTACCGCATTCGAGTATTCTGACACTTCCCTATGGTTGACTGGGAGAGAATGCTTTTAGCATTAAGTCCGCCATGTACACATATTTGTACTATTGAATAAATAAATAAAAAATTGTAAATTTATGCAATTAATGCGTTATAACTGACTAATATACTTCATTGCCGTCTGATCCCAGCATAGAATGAGCTACCTCTTCCTTTTATCATAGGTGTCGTAAATGACGACTAATGGAACTTAATTATTGAGATTTGAGCAGCAGCGTCCCTCTTAAAACATCACCAAAGCGTAACTGCGGTTGCCAATCCGCCTGCCAAGCGTGGCAACTATTAGTACAACTCTCCTTTTCGGGGAGTCCTATATTCAGCAATATGGACATTTACCGACAAATATGATAAATTCACTATATTATCATCACGATAAATTATATATATATATATAATTTTATACAACTTAGAATGGCAAACAAGCTGACGGTCCACTTGATGGAAAGTGGTAACCGTCGCCTATAGACATGAGCAGTACCATGGACATAACAGAGTAAACTGTTTCGTCCATGAAACCCAAATGCGTTGTCATTCCTGAGGACTCAGGTGTTATTCCTCTGTACCCAGCAAATTCACGCCATATCCCATTCTTCAAACCGAAACACAGCCATGCAAACTGCTTCACGGTTGAAACACGAATGGGACAAAGGTACCCAAGCAATCGACTTTTGTACAATTGCATCGATTATAATTTAATTATAATCGATTAAATTGCCATAAACATATGGTTACTATATTATTATACAATATATATATATATTTAATCGATAGTATCAATACAGTCATTAAACCAATGATTATTGACATTAATCTATGTGGACACTATCGGTTGTCTGATAATCATTTATTAGTCGACACTAATTTATTAGTACAGTCTTTAAAGCACTTTTCTAGAATGATAAATCGCTAAGCATGAGCGGTATACGCTGGTGGAGTACCAATTAGTGTTGGTAGATGAAGATGAAGTCAAGCCAGTTAGTCTATCGAATCATCGAAATTTTACCAAAGGGAGACTTAGTACAAAAGTCGTTTGCTTGAGCACCTCTGTCCCATTCGTGTTTCAACCGTAAAGCAGTTGTGTTTGCATGACTGTGTTTCGGTTTGAAAGATGGGATATGGCGTGAATTTACAGGGTACAGAGGAATAACATCTGAGTCCTCAGGAATGGCAACACATGGGGGGTATCGTGGGCGAAACCGTATACTCTGTTATGTCTATGGTACTACTCATGGGCCGTCAGCTTGTTTGCCATTCTAAGTTGTATAAAAAAAAACGAAAACACCAGAAAGTAATCACAGTAGACCGTGGTATTTTCGATCTGGCAATGAGGATGCTACTAACTACTCCCTCTATCTCTCTACAGTGCACTATCAGCGGATCGCCCATCGAGACATCAAGCCCGCCAACCTGCTACTTGGCGACGGTCGAGTACAGGTGGCAGATTTGGGGGCATGCGGCGAGCTTGCCGGCGGTGGTGGCAGATTGTCCGGCGCGGTTGGCACCCCTGCTTTTAGAGCGCCGGAGGCCACGGCACAGGCTGACAAATATGTTGGAGAGGTAAATGTCATCATCGTTCACATGTCGACTGGCCATTGTTCTTCACAGATTACATAAGGAGTAATCCAACCACCTACATTCCACTAAGATTAACCTACCTCCTTGTCTAGATCGCTTTAAATATCGACTTGTCTCATTTTATATACTTTTTTTATACAACTTAGAATGGCAAACAAGCTGACGATCCATCTGACGGAAAGTGGTAACCGTCACCTATAGACATGAGCAGTACCATGGACACAACAGAGTAAACTGTTTTGCCCATGATACCCCCCATGCGTTGCCATTTCTGAGAACTCAGGTGTTATTCCTCTGTACCCTGTAAATTCACGCCATATCCCACCCTTCAAATTGGAACACAGCCATGCAAACACAACTGCTTCACGGTTGAAACACGAATAAGACAGAGGTACCCAAGCAATCGGCTTTTGTACAAAGTCTCCCTCTGGTATTAAAAAAAATAATACCTTTTAATGCAAAACTTTAAGTGTTCAATTATTTTTACTCAGGCGGCAGACATCTGGTCGTTAGGCGTAACCCTGTTCGCGATGGTAACAGGCCGAGTGCCGTGGGTGGGGCCCACAGCGAACGAGCTCCAGCGACGGGTGCTGGAAGAACCCCTCGCCTTCCCTCAAAGACCACAGCTATCACAAAGTTTGAAGCATTTACTCAGTAGAATGCTTGACAAAAATCCTACAACGAGAGCCACTATGCAAGAAATTAAGGTAAGTTAGGCTTTTTAAAATAGAATTTAGAAAGGCAAAAAATTGATCAAATAATAGTAGTAAAATATCTTTATGTACAGCAATATTCCAAAAACAAATTGGACTGATTCGATTTGTTTAGCTTTATTCACTTCAACATCTCATTATCTACTGCTGAATATGAGTTTCTCCTATGAATAGCCACAAGGAACGATTTTAATATATCTGCCTGCTTCGACTCCCTGAAACACTCTATAATATTTTTAATAATCCCAACTCTCCATCTTATCTCCGCTCCCGGTTTCAAATCCTGCCCCCTCCCACACGTCCCAAGCGTGCTTGCCTGTTCCAGTCCAAAGATTTAGAACTCCCTTCTTGCAAGACCCATTTTTTTAGAAACTCTTTCACATTTCGTGCTGCACAACTGTGGAACAGCTACCTGCTGACATACGGGATAGTCCTTCCATTACTTCCTTCAAGAGAAGACTGAAATCACATCTTTTAATCAATTGTACATGATAATTCTATGCACTTATACATATGTATATATATTTATCTATTTACTTATTTACGTATTTACTTATTTACGTATTTATTTATTTATTTACATATTTATTCACAATAGTGTTTGATGTATTTACATTATTTTCACTGGTACCTTTTCTGCACTTGATTACCCAAATTAAATCATTTTCTCTCTAATTACACTGGGTTGGCTGGAAGAGATCTCATTCAGAGATAAGTCCTCCCTTGCTAACAAGTTGTTAAACTAATCGTCAAATATATTGTTTAAGTGCAATAAAGAATATATAAATAAATAAAACCCATTTGGAATCATCGCTCCTTCTGCAGGCAGAATCGTTCTTTACTTATGACTCCTAGAGGTCATCACCCTTGAGCGTTTATTTTTATCAACCTGTGTTCATAAACAGATGTGAATGCTCACGAAAAGCCAAAACTAGGTCATCCAAATAGCGTGAATTTAAGATCAGCTAAAACCAAACTTCTAGCCTTCTGAAATAGTGTGTATAGGGTCTCCAGATTCACTATACTCTCAGCCACAATACCGCGAGGCTGAATGCGGTAATGACCTATCAAAAACTAAAACAAACTTAAAAGCTTTGCATATTTTCTTCAATACAGTGGATTTAATTTTTATCAGGAACACGAGTGGGTGACCGACGGTGGTAGAGAGTCGCTCCCGTCCGAGCAAGAGAACTGCCGACTGGTGGAAGTCACCGAAGAGGACATGGCGCGCGTCGTCACCTCCATACCGAATCTGTCCACTCTGATACTTATCAAGACTATGCTCAAAAAACACAGTTTTCAGGTAATTAAAAAACATGTATTAATTAATAATATGTTCTTATTTCCACGCTGAAGCACCACAATACCTGCTTCCGGGGGGAAAGGGATTGTTAGTAATGGAGACTGAGAATCATATTGCTAGCTAGAATATAGCTCGCGGTTCTCCCTGGAAACTATCATGGCTAATTCCTGATGAATTCATCATGATGGGCTAACTGGCCTGTTTTCATTCTCCTCTATCACCCTTCACTGGTGCTCCGCCAGCGTATCCCGTTAGCGCAGGCGGAGTTACCATACCATTTTCACCCATCAAAAAAATACCTGCTTCTTCTATTAGACAACGCAGGGAGACTGGTATTATCGACAACCAATGACTTGTTCATCAACTCTTGGAAATCCTCCTCACTAGGTAACGAGGATTGATTCGATTGCTATAATGGTGTGCGTTTTTTTACACCTTAGAATGGCAATCAAGCTGACGGCCCACGGCTTATGGAAAGTGGTAACTGTCGCCTATAGACATGAGCAGTACCACGGACATAACAGATTATACTGTTTCGCTCATGATACCCCCCATGCGTTGCCATTCCTGAGTACTCGGGTGTTATTTCCCTATACCCTGTAAATTCACTGCAAATGCAACTGCTTCACAGTAGAAACACGAACGGGACGGAGGAGCCAAAGCAAACTACTTTTGTATAAAGTCTCTCTCTGAATGTGTGACAATTATTATCACTTGTTATCGATACCACAGTCGATACTATTGATATTCGAATCACTGTGATTGAACAGTATCGATTGATAGATAATCGAGTAGTGAACTGAGTGGTATGTGCACCCCAGAACCCGTTCCTGCGCAGCCGGGAGGGCAGCGCGGTGCGGCGCGAGAGCGGCGACTCTACGAGCGAGGCGGGCGGCGTGTCCGGCGTGTCCGGCGTGTCCGGCGTGTCCGGCGTGTCCGGCGTGTCCGGCGCCGGCATGGCGGCGGGCGCGGCGGCGGCGCGCCGGGCCGGCCTGGCCCGCGCCGGCCGTTCGCTCTCCGCGCCCGGGAACTACCTCACGCACAGGTTGGACATACAACTATCTTTAAAACATATCGCAAAATTCATATATATATATATATATATATATATATATATATATATATATATATATATATTTCATATGTATTAGTTTATCCATATATATTAAAAGTAATGTTTATGTATTATATGTGCATTTCTTATCTGTATTTCTTATATTTATATTGTGTATTGCCTTAATGTGTTACTATAATTGTCACATATTTTTCACCACATCTGCCCTTCATACGCTTTCTGTTTTCACCCAATGGTTAGCTGGTAGAGAATGCCATATGGCATTAAGCTCGCCATTTGTACAAAATATTATTGTACAATAAAGAATAAATAAATAAATATTACCATAGCTGTAAAAAAGAGAAGACGAAAAAGGTCGGAGACTTTGTGAATATTAAATGTTAAAGTATATAAAGAAACTTAACATTACTGATGGGAATACATACTAAACAAAGCAAAAGTAACATAAGCGGATCATCATCGTCATGTCCATTATCTGTCCACTGCAAAACATAGGTCTCCTCCATACTCTGTCTTCAGGAACGGTCCTGAGATACCTGCATCTACTGACTCCCTGCAATACATTTGGAGTCGTCACTTCATCTAGTACAGGAATCGTCCTACACTGCTTTAACCCGTATGGAGTCGCCACTCAAGCACTCTATCTAGTAGGAGGGACATCCTACGCTGCGTTTGGAGTTATGAATATGGAGTTGCCACTCAAGAAACTTTCTTCCCCATCGGTTGTCGGTTCGAGCTATGTGACCAGCTTATTGCCACTACACCACAGAATGAAAGCAACTTAGTTGATCCACCGTGAAACCGTTTGAAAGTCAACCCCATTGGGTCACCAATTCATATTTCTAATCCCTTCTTCCTTGCATCACGGTGTGTCAACTGAATTGATTCCATTCTCACCTGTCATCACTAACTCTATCAGCGGTAACTTTTCTTCTATTTAGAATATTGCTCCCAGGGGAAAAGGAATTGTTAGCAATAAAGATTTAATTGTCTTATTGCTAGCAATATTCTCTATAAGCCATTTACGCCATTTTTCCCGGAAACCATCTAGTTCTTGTGAAATTGATCACAATGGACTAATTGACCTGCTTCTTTCCTGTCTACCATCCCTCGCTGATGCTCCGCCTGCGTATATCGACAGGCGGGGTTACCATTCTATTATCACTAATAATAAACAAAACGGGTAGAAGGGATCGTTAGTAATGCGGGCTACCAGTCCCATTGCTAGCAAAATAACCTGTCAGGTCGACCTCCACGCGGTTCCCCCTGGAAACCATCGTGCTGAGTTCCAGGTGTATTCATCACGATGGGCTGACTGACCTGCCTTTTTTCATTATTCACCTATCATCCCTCACTGGTGCCCCGCCAGCGTATACCGTTAGCGCAGGCGGGGTTACCATACCATTAATCATACATTAAAAAAAAACAAAACACTGTTTCTATTTAGTAATTTATAGCTTCTAATCATAATATCGTCTATACAGCATAAACTTCTGAATGTTTACAGACAGCAATCATTCGACATCGGACTGGAGTCAGTCGTGGAGTCGCGCGACCAGAGCCAAGAGCAGAAGGAACAGAAGGAACAGAGGGAACAGAGAGAACAGCAAGAGCAGAGGGAGCAGAAGGACAAGAGCCCCGAGCGGCAGTCCGCGCGGTGATACGCCTCGCGCGGCCCCGCGCCGCCCGCCTACTCTACCACTGCTACCAACTACATAATAATAAACACCTCCGTCTCCTCTTGTGGTTATAGGCAGTTGTAGACATGCGCCACGCCACCGGGGACCACGAGGGACAGTCCTCGGAACACACGCACACACATGTGCACCTACAAACGTACCAGTGTAACGTCTCTGACATATGCACACTGACTGTGACTGTGTGCTGTTGTATGTGTGTGGGCGTGTGCACATAGATATACATATATGAGTGTGTGTATGTGTGTGTGTGTGTGTGTGCATACATATAAGTACACTCGTGTATGCGTAGATAAAACGTCGACTGTTTATAAAAATCATGCTAAATATTAGTACTACGAATTCTACTCGGACAAGGATGTCTCCCTCCAGTGTCCAATACACGTATTTCTGGCCCGTATAATGTCAGATAATGTTAAATCAGGCCTAACGCGGGGAAACAGGGTGTAAGGCGACCAGAGTACAGCACACTAAAAGCACTCCCTCAAAGAATTTAATGAACTTTTGAAATAGTTGAGCTTTGCAACTCGACGAAAAATGTCCTAAAAATGACCTCGGTCGAGTCAATGTAAAATAAACAAGAGAATTTAAATTGAGTGAAATCTTTTTTAAAAGTCAACGCTTACAATATCTCGAGGACTGTCCCACGTCAGCACAGATCCTTGAGTTCCATTGGTGAGAAAGAGATGGAAGAACCTGAAACTAGTCAAGTCATTCTGATAATATTTTTTAATATTCCACAATCATTTGTGTGTATATACTTAAATATATATAAAATTTGACATTTACGGTTTCGTATTTGTATATTTATTTCTATATATGAATATAGAGATATTTACAGTGAAGTGAGATTCAAACGTACTTACACACTTGTAACAAAAAATGTAATCACAGGGTGTTATCAATTTTATCGATTCGTGTGTATCTAATTTTTGTACACCCTGTATTTTAAAATATGCATTTCAGCATCGAGAAAGCGTTTTAAAGTCTTAGTTTTAAATGGGCTAAGGGTAGGTTTGTAACGTGTTCTTAAATAAAGGTCTGCGCTCACTTAACATTGCGTCAATGCAAAAAGACATCGACGTTTGTAAGTTTAAAATAATGTTAATAAAATTAAAAAAAAAAAATAAGAAATTTTATATGGGATGAATTGTGTCGTTTCATACTGCAGTATGTCCCCATACTTACCCATTATATTATTCCCCCATAGTAGCTATGATATCTATCAATCATACAACGAAGGACATCGTTTTCAGCGATAACGCCTCCATTGTTTTCTCTGTGTGATCTATTACTTGCAACTTTTGATGGGGATTATAAACAATAGATACTCCATACTATATTGTTTTATGGTATTACAGCTTATCTCACCAACTTTACTAATATAATAAAATTGTAACTACACATGCGAGATATTTAACAATAAATTCACATGAGAAAAAATGCCAGATCAATATTTTTTACAATCTTTCTATCTATGTGTATATTTCTTGTGACGTCACGCAAAAATTATTGCAACGAATTGCATTCGGTTTTCACGGTAGTATTTCTGAAGGTCTAATTTAAAATCTGATATGTGTTTTATCTTGATACATTATCCAGAAATGATCCACTTCATTGGTACGAAGTAGCGGGCAAGAAGCTGAAGCTAATTATAATATTTCTCTTTTAAATAAAAAAAAAAGAGTTCATAAAAAATATACGACTTCACTTTTACATACAAAGAAAATGTTAACCAGTTACATTAATAATAAAGTTTTTTAATATTAATTAATAAAATAAAATTTTAAATAAAAATCCAGTGTGTTGTTAAAACACACTACAAATTGTTTACTTTATTTTAGTACATATTGATTTTGCAATAAACATCAGCGTCGGGAATTGCACTCGTATGAATCTCACGGGAATTTACTTAATTGATTACCTTGTGTTCCCTCCAAGCGAATGTATTGTTAGTTCGAAGACAATGAATTAGTTTTACTCCCTCATTTTCCAATTATAGCGTATTAACTTTTTTCTTTAAAGTCTTCTCTCATAAATTATATATATTTTTTTTTTTGTATTTTGTCGTGCAAACAATGCAGGCAATGATTTGTCCATGGATATGTCATAAGTTTTTTTTTTTTTAACAATATAAATTAATCATTAAAGTACTCTCGTTTAATGCTAATAACAATATTTGTTGTGTTGTTGAAACTTAATCAAATATATATATATATATATATATATATATATATATATATATATATAAATGAATGAATTACCAAATGTATGTAAGCGTATCACTTCAGAACAGCTGCACCTATTTGGTTAATTCTTTTTTGTTGTTCGTAATTGTCAGGACAAGATTTGTATAAAAACAATTTTTAAAAACATCTTATGGAAAAATTTGAGTTAAAATATCTTTATATAAAAAAATGAGTGTAATACGGAAAATATTTTTTTTTAATGGATGATAATGGAATGTTAACCCCATCTGCGCTATCGGTTTACACTGGCGGGGCACCAATGAAGGGTGATAAGTGAAGATAAAGCAGGTCAGTTAGCTCATCATGACGAATCTAACAATAAATAAATCACGATGGTTTCCAGGGGGAACCACGGGGAGGTCGACCTGACAGGGTAAATTGCTAGCAATGAGGCTACTAACCCCATTACTAACAATCCCTTCACCCCCAAATACGGAAGATATTAAATAGATTTAATAAAAATGACATATTGACGTCATCATTAGTACACCAGTGCGAAATCGGGACAGACAACTAGAATTGAATAAAGGGACAGTGAGTTCAGACCTTTATTTTTTAATTTATGTTTGTATTAAATAGTTTTTAATTGTACTTGATGTTTAAAAATGTACTGCAATCAATTTCGATGATTATTTTTTAGAACAACACAAAATATAATAATACTCACCTTCCATCAGGTGAGCCGTCAGCTTGTTTGCTATTTTTTGGTGCATTTAGAAAATCTCATACGTTTCAAGTTCTGTCGTTAAAAGAAAAAAAAAATTTTTTTACCTAAAATATGTAACTGGTAACTAACACTTGAAGTTTTTCAAAGTTTTTGAAAATAAGTCTTGTATCCATTTTATATGTATTTTTTTTTATTGTTAAAAACCATTTCAATTTAGCAGTCTAATTTTCGATACTGCGTAACATCGCAAAACATTTGCGGTACAGTTCTAAACGTCTTGTATATTTTACTTAAACGTGACATAAAGTGAGGTACATAGCAATTATTACGTGTAGGGTCGGGTGTGTTGGCACTGAAATGATATTTTTTTATATCTAGCTTAATACGAGTACCTAGTTAGGTAGGTAATGTAATTTTTTCTAACATTCAATATATTACCATAGCTCGCCTAGTCGTCAAGTGTTTAATGATAATTATTGTAAATAAAATTTTACATTTATGTCCTCTTTGACCTAGACTAAGAAATGCACTTAAATATTTTTCGATAATTTTAATTTATTTTTACAGAAATCGTCGGCTGTTTGTAATTATATTTCAACGCATCATCGTCCCAGCATTAAAAAAAAAAAAAACATTGTTTAGCTCATTTATTTTTTATAGGTCAGCTTAATTTTTAATAATCGTATAAATACACAATTTAGATGTAATCCTTATAAAATTGCTCAATTCTCGTCGAGTGTCCCACATCACGTTCATAGCTTAAAATTTTTACTAAAAAAAAAAAAAGATTTTTACTAAAAAAAAATCATAAACTTGTCTCTTGTAATAATTAATGAATTTAGTCATTTTAATAATCGCTTAATCTCATATTTTTAGAAGAACCCACACTATGAACAAATATATTTTTAGAACAGTTCTAGTGACATGTTTTTTCACCCTTTATTGTCCCTTTACTGTCTAAAGGCCTAATGTTAAAGATAAAAAAAAAAACAATTTTTAATATTATATTTAGACCCTGTGACTTCTGACTCTAGTCTATTCACTTTAATATTAAAAAAAAAAATCATTCTCAGTCGCCATTACTCAAGTAAATGTTCAATAATCATAAAAATTAAAACTTAGTAACGATTTTAAAACAAAAGTGTTCTATATCATGTAGATCTATTTTAAAACTATCAAATTCATTATTTCGTTACGTCAAAGTTCTGAAAATATATTACTTCATTTCAAGCACGTCATACACTATAAAATAAGCGGCATTAAATTTTAGCGGATCCAATTTCCACAGTGAAACTGCGCTTTACATTTTAAGAGGCAAAACTTTGGGAAAAGCCTCTCACCTTTTAGGCGCCAACTTCATTTACCAACCTAATAATGAAAATCGATAACAGTTACGTCTCTTCCTAATTTTGTGATAGCTTTAAATTAGTCGTTATTTAAATATACAAAATCGATTTACCTAACACACAAAGTAGTATAAATTTATCCACAATGGGAAAGGCAAAGGAACTAAGCCATACATCTATTTAGTGAAATAAAACAAATGGGATATTCTTTTTCTAAGTGGGGTTTAACCTTCAAGTACTTACACTGTTATTTATAAAAATGGTGAAACATCTCATAAAAACCTAGTTCAAATATTACCTTTTAGTTTTGAGGTGGGTAAATAAGAAAATGACAAAATACACTTACTGTAACAGAGGTTGTTTTAATTTTTATAGGTTAATATTTTATATTAATTAAACTAGAAAAAAATAAATTAATATACCCCTCCTACCCTCTCTACTGACCCCTGACAGCTTATTGGGACATCATTCATACCAGTAGGTAACTAACGATCGCCCCAGATCATCACAACGATGGAACTTCTAATCCTTTGCAAGCGAAAGGTCCAAATATTATATTGCCTTTAAATGTTGTGATAGACGATTAGTAAACGAATTGCTTTTATATATGTATATATATAATATATAATAAATTTTTAAATCATCTCTATAAAAGTTTTTCCAAATATAATTGTAAATTTTTTGGTATGTCAATATTATAAATGTACTGATCTTTATTGATAGTAAGCTAGTGAGATAGAGTAGCGTCCGTCCAGAGACATCTGTGACCGCCGTATCCTAAGAGCACAGGTTAGACTGCCATGTGTTTCCCGCCAATTTTTCCAAGGTGCTCCAAGATTAAAAAACAAAATAACTTTTTTTTTATTCTTAAAATGAAATCCTATTATAACAAAAGTGATTCTTTAGTCTAATTATAAAGCATTTTTTCTTAAAAATATAAATAGTTCAGTTATTTTCGATAAATGTGTGACGATTTTGAATAAAATCAACATGGACGCCTAACGTACAACTGCTCTGACGGCGAATCGGCCACAAACTCATACTAATGTAGCACGGATGTATGTGGACAGACTTTTAATTGTTACATTAATGCGTCTCCTTCTATAGATATTAAGGTTGCGAGCTGTCATAAGCGGAAGCGGAGCGTGGATTGACATAAACAAAATTCACATTGATTACAAGATAAACAGGAAATAAAACAAACTTAAATAGAAATCATTAAAATAAGGTCTTAATAAAGTACAGAAATGTGTACAATGATCCGAAATTTAACTAATAGTAGAGTAATAATAATAAAATCAACAATTATAGCTAATGAAGCGAATTGAAAACTGAGAATGAATCTAACAGCACGACAACAGTCGTGGAAGATTTGAAAAATATTTTTTCCTGAGATTAATTAGTATCGCTCGATTTTGGCTTCTCACATATTTCGGCTTGTTACAAGCATCTTAGAAGAAATATAATATTGTACAACGTACAAATGTGTATAATTGAACATAAAATACAAATATCAATTTACGCTAACCGCATTCGCTACCGCACAACAATCTGTACGTACCTTAAGTTATGAAGTCTAATTTACATTGCGAACCTTGCGATATGAAACCAACTTCATTTCATCGAAATTACACCTGTAGAGAACAGAACTCAATAGAAAGCATAGACAAAAAATAGTTTTAAAAACAATACGTCAAACAAGTTCAACAGTGTAAATTTGGCTTTACTATTTTATGAAATAAAGTGGTTTTTTTTTATATATATAAAAATTTTACTTAAAATTTTAAAAATAGATTTGGTAATATAGTGACAAACAAAACTCAATTAATACTGCATTAAGCATTCTCTAATGCTGATTTATCTTTAAATAGATACCTATTTCCTGTTTTGTTGTTGATTTTATTGGGTTTTAAATTTTAATAATAATAAAATATTACATAATACAACTTGAGTTTCATTCTAACTGAAATACCAGCTGTCCCTCAATCAGAAGTCATCGTATACCTATACTATTGGTGAAAACCTAGGAGTGGCTTCATTTTTGTTACTTTGTCATTCTTTGTATGATTTTTTTATGCAACTTAGAATGGTAAACAAGCTTTTATCCAACTATCCATCCCAACCATCTGGACGAGTGGAGTGGTCTTCCATGGTGTGTTTTTCAAGGCTCTTTCTTCCACGCACAACCACTCTTTGGAATCAACTTCCAGCAGCAGTATTTCCGAACCGATACGACAACATAACCTTACATTTGATTGATTACAATTATTACAATTAGCTTTCCTTCCGTTTTACTTATTTATATATTTACATAAAAAATTACGTTATATTTATGTAAATAAATACAAATTTATTTATACTTTGTTCCATTCGTGTTTCTACCGTGAAGCAGTCGTTTGCATGGCTGTGTTTCAGTTTAATGGGTGGGATATGGCAGTGAATTTACAGGGGACAGAGGAATAACACCTGAGTCGTCTGGAATGGCAACGCATGGGGGGTATCATGGGCGAAACAGTATACTCTGTTATGTCCATGGCACTGCTCATGTCTATAGGCAACGATTACCACTTTCCATCAGGGGGGCCGTCAGCTTGTTTACCATTCTAAGTTGTATAAAAAAAAGGTATTTATTTATCTAACTATGCCATCAATTTATTGATCCGATATCAACTTTATTAAATCATCTGCCATAAATATTAACGACTCTATAAACATGTTTATGGGTGCAGTTATTGGGAATCAGCCACGGTTCCCTACGAGCCTTGACCTACAGACTTGTGTCAACAATGGTTTACTACACCTACATAGAATGAGGGTTTTATTACCCACTTAACTATTTGCCATGGTTTCGTCCACGCTGATACGTTTTCGATTCATTCTCGTAGGTATTTTGTAAAAATCTCTTCTTAGTTAACGCCTACGTTATAAAATTATAGGTGAAACAGGTGAGCGTTTTATGGAAAGTCGATATAAAAGAAGTAAAATCTATTATAACATACATAATACAACTATTTAATATTTAAACAGATGTACCAATATATCCCATTAATGTAAAAAATTCAGAAGATTGTAACGTGTCTATCAAAAATTGTGTCGTGGGAAAATGATTTATATGATATTTTTTTCCATTTCTTTCATTCCTGTTATTTGATTTTGCGAGGGTCTTTTGTTAAAGTAAATCCAATGATGTCCTAAAATTGATTAAGGTACGATGGGACTGACGTGCCTGAAAAGACAAAAGTCCCTAAATAAATAAATAAATAAATAAAAAATAATTGTAACTTTGGATGAATGAGCGTTTGTTGCTCTATCACGCAAAAACAACTGAATGGATTTGAACGAAATTTATATAGGTTATATCTTAATGCACATAACATACTTTATATACTGATTCACGCGAGTGAAAACAAGGGATACGGCTAGTTAACCACTACACCATCAGAGATGCAGAGATAAAACGTAAAAATGTTAACTGTAGGGTATAGTGAGCTGTCCTTGTATGGTACATCTCCCCGCGACCCGTGACATCCCAAACCGATCGCATGCACTGTTGATTTCCCAAGAGTGAGCGGACATGCAAATATTCTCGCTCTAACGAAGCACCGTCGGGTTTTACACGTTTCTTACTGCCCTCCAGTGGATTACTCTGTCACATCATATATGTACTGTTAAAATATCTATCTTTACATAGATTTAAATTCACGCCATATTCCACCCTTCAAACTTAAATACAGCCATGCAAACACAACTGCTTCACGGTTGGAACACGAATGGAACAGAGGTGGCCAAGCAATCGACTATTGTACAAAGTCTCCCTCTGGTATATATGTACATATAAGCTGATTTGTGAGTAATATCAGTAAATTATAAGTGAAATAAATTAATAAATATTAAAAAATATATACATTATGATAATTAGAGTTACTTATTATTAGATTATTGTACAGAGTGTTTCAGCAATTATTACAGATGATTATACAGTCTTTAAATGAAATTAGTAACAAATCTATGCAGGGGGAAAGGGATTGTTAGTAATGGAGACTGAGAATCCCATTGCTAGCAATATATCCAACCAGGTCGACCTCCTCGCGGTTCCCCCTGGAAACTATCATGGTTAGTTCCTGATGAATTCATCATGATGGGCTAACTGGCCTGTTTTCATTCACCCTTCACTGGTGCTCCGCCAGCGTATCCCGTTAGCGCAGGCGGGGTTACCATACCATTTTCACCCATCAAAAAAAACAAATCTATGCAGTCAATTAATCGATTGTTGATTTGCATTAGAAAGATTTAAATTTAAAAGAGACTGTATGTATCTATCGACCCTAAAATAATATGTATAGAGAAACCGGATACGCTATGACATACCTTTACAAATATTCGAATAATACATTAAAACTGTGCAAGGACTAATCCGTAATTGGTTTAAGTTCAAGGTGGGGTTATGTTAATTTATTGTTGAGTTTTAATAATACATTTTCTAATACAGAATAAATATCATCATCATTATCAGACATTAACCTTTCAATGCTGAACACTGACCTTCTCCTGTTGGAGGTTTTGCCAGTGGTTGCCACGTTTGGTAAACGGGTTGGTAACCGCAGTTACACTTTAGATATGTTTTAAAAGAGACGCTGCTGTCCATCCCTCGCCCTCCCTTAGTCGCCCCTGATGACAGCCATGGGAAAGAAAAGGGTCCTGTTCACTGCTGAATATAGGCCTCCCCTTTAGAAAGTGGGGGGTTGCCAGAAGTTGCCATTGTTGCTCGGCACGCGGCTTGGGATTGTTGGCAACCATAGTTAGGCTTTGATGATGTTTTAAGATGGATGCTGCAGCCCGTCCCCATTAAATTCCCTTAGTCGCTTCCTATGACACCCACGGGGAAGGAAGAGGAAATATATATAGCGTCAGGGATGTTCTTTTCTAGAAATCTGTCCGATTCTAGAATAAGGGCATTCGGGTATGCGACCCCGGCCTCCCGAGCCGCTGAAGTGTCCCAATCCTTTCCGCAACTGCAGTGTCCCCCTCCTTTCCTTTCCCTTATTCCTCTCATTCACCAATTTCCTTTACACGTTTCCAATGTTCCCTTCCTTTTTTCCTCAATCCTTTCCTCCATACCGTAGGTGGCGGAAATCACCAACAAATGCATTCCCAAAGAGAGTTGACGACAGGCAGGTGGCCGGTTGTAAAACTAAAAACCAAATATTTTTGTAATATGGATAAAACCATATTACGCCGATCCCAAATAAATGTCCTCTCACTTCAATTGTATTGTTTATGTTTGTTACCTCTAGTTTCGTCATTTGTAAACCGATTGGAAAACTTTTCAACCTGAAATCTTTTACTACGATTGAAATTAGATTAGTTTTGTAACACAATCATGAATTATTACTTTTAGGCATCCTCGGGACTCGACCAATCGTCACAAAATTTAAATTACATCTAGTATTTAGAACAGCGATAGCATTAACTGACTTTTTATTCTTGTCAATAAACGTAACCCGGTCACTCGGACGCAATAAGGACGAAACAGCGTGATAAAAACTAGTACGTACCTACCCTCCATACTCGTAAAAATACCTGCGCTGTTTTTATAAACTATTTATTCGATCTTATTAAAAACAAATGTATAATATAACCTACATTTGTTAGGGGAAGGGATTGTTAGTAATGGGGAGGTTAGTTCCCATTGCTATCAAGATACCTTGTCAGGTCGACATCCAAGCGGTCCAATCTAGAAAACATCGTGACTAATTTATCGTTGAATTCGTCACGATGGGCTAATTGACCTGCCTTTTCGTCCTCACCTATCACCTCACTGGTGCCCCGCCAGTGTATACCGATAGCGCAGACGGAGTTACCATACCATTATCGCCCATTAAAAAAAACCTACATTTGTTATTATATTACGTATGTTTCAATGTGTTTGTATAAATTTGCATTTAATTTCCTAAAACAGCTTGATCATATGGATTATTTATATATCAAACAGACGAAAATGGAAAAATAAAACAAATATGTTATATGCAAATATAACTCATATAAATGCATAGATACAAAAATAATTTTATCAAAAAAAAATCGTTAATGAAATAAATATTATAACTATGCACTAAAAGGAATTTAAAACGATTCCCAAGCATATAAAAATGACTATATTTTTTGTACTTTATTATATTCAAAATCAGTTTATATTATTTATGTCCGGTACAGAATAAGATGTGTCGTTGAAACAAGTCGATACTTTAAATAATTTAATTCATTCAATAATATTCTAAATAATTAATTAATTGTATTTAATTATAATCATCACAATTAGAATACAATGATTTATAATTATTTTCTCTTAATCTTACATTGTTTAACTTCTCTCTTGTGTTCAAATTTAAACTACTTTTTTAATGGTACGTTGTAAGGACTTTGTAACTGAAAACTGCCATTCGAATCCACGGGAACATTGCTAAAGTACACATTAGGATTATTCGTGTATGTATTAGGTATATTGATACGAGTATATAAATTAGATTGGAGGTCAGCACCATTGCTGTTTACAAGAACAGTATTAACAGGTATAATGGTACCTTGGCTGTTAACGTTGTTACCATTTGGTGAAGTCAAAACCACACTGCCTTGTGGTGGATTTATATTACTGGTTTTAGGTATATTTATCAAAAGATATTGCTGCTGCGTGTTTGGATTATTTGCATTATTTCCAACATCATACTGATTTCCTTGCTGTACATACAGAAGCATTGGTTTACCGTTATTTCCTTCAGTAACACCTACATTATTTGGAAAATTGTTTGCAGAAGTTTGATAGTTAACAAGACTTTTGGGAATATTATTGTTATTCAAATTCGTGGCTAATCCATTATTTTCTGGAAGGCTGTTTGTATTAGCTTGTTGCCCAAGATTTTGGAACACAAATGGTTTGCTATTATAAATGTTACCATCTGTTTGCTGCACGCCAATATTTTGAGATAATGATTGAGCCATTCCATTACTGGTAGGAACATTTAAAAACATTTGTTGTTTGTTAAATCCAACGTTTCCACCGCTTGGTATATTTAGTTGGTTTCCTGCAGAATTTGTATTCTCTTGCTGATTACTGCTTGTGAGTATGGCATTAATAGGTATGAAATAAGGTTTCTGTTGTATATTTAATATGTGAGCCTCTGTATTTTTATTTGCCACATTATTAGAGCGTGCCAAAGTATTTTCCAATTGTTCTTGAGGACTTTGTGTTGAGTATTGATAATCACCAAATTGATCATTTATTGAATATGTGGTACTAATTTTATCAATAGGGTTTGATTGTGTCTCTGGCTGGCGTTCTAGATAATTTTGATTATTTTGGTTATCACCTATGTTAGGAATATCTGTTATCATTACGGATCCTTGATTTTCAAAATTCGCACTTATATTAGAAGGTGACAAAGTTGCTTGCTGCATATTTTGAGGCAGATTAACAAACATTTTCGTGTATGGAGTTCCATGATCAGAAATATTCGTTGGACTTAAAATTGTTAATATGTTTTGATTATTTTCATTTATTGTAGACAAAATGTTATCATCATTTGTATTATCTGTTGAAAATAATAGCTTACTTTCATTTGACTTTTGTAAAATATTAGCCAATGATGATATCGGTATCATTATTTGTATAGGGACCATGTCCATGTCTCTGTTGTTAGCATGATTGGTATTATCATCAATTGTTTCATTAATAGGTAATGATTGAGCAATATTCTCTTCATTTTTAGATATTTTATCCGTTTCCAACTTTGATTCATCAATTTCATCAGGGATCAATATTGAATCAGTGACTGTATCATAATTTGTCTCTTGATTTTGTAAGTTATTAGAAAGCTCTTGGGTATTAGAAATTTCATATTTCTCGTATGAAGGGATTTCTTTTATAATATTTGTTTTCAAGCCAGGTGACTCTGTAGTAGTGGTTGATTCTGGTAGCAAATTTATCTTTAGCGGATCATTTTCAAGTCGAGACTGGATTTCACCTTCTAATTTTCTTTGATGACCATCTTCGTGAGAATTATCTAGATCTTCATGTCTAATTGCTTGTTTCGTGTTTGGTGTCTCTTTTAATATGGGAACATTTAATTGCTCCGCATATTCCTTTGGTCGAAACAAGTTTGTAGATTCATAACCAGGAGTATTCCATAATTTACCTCTATCTTTCTTATGTGGACCATGTAAGTTATTATGGTATAATCTGCGTGACCCAAATAAATCATAATCAGTTTTGTGTCGACTAGGACCATGAAAATCAATTAAGGCAGGAGGTGGGTTCATAGGCGGTGAAATTGTGTCATATTCTGAGAACAGCTGACTCCTAGCCGACGCTACGTGACTTCTCTGGACAACCCAGAAAACGAAAAGAAGATATATCTGAAAAATAAATTAAACTTATAAACAGACGTGTTATTAAATCCTATTTATATTTAAAGTGGTTCCATTCGTTTTAATAAATAAAATATAAACTCAATTTCTATATACCACTGAGGTGGCAAACAAGCATACGGCCCACCTGATGGTAAGCGGTTACCGTAGCAAATTAAATGTAATTATATTAGATTTATGATTATTTTTTTAGCTTGATCTTTTTAATATGATATTTGCAGAGATTGTAAACAAAGCTGCAGAGGTCAATAAATTTATTACAATGATGGAGGAATTGATAGTTTCTATTGTAATTTTAATTTAAAAGAAAATGTCTTAAGTACAATACATTGTTACAGATCGCTTGCAGAAAACTCTCTCCAGTACAGATGGTGACAGATGAACTACGTTCAGAAACACATTACATGGGGGGAAGGGATTGTTAGTTACGCGGGCTACCAGTCCCATTGCTAGCAATATACCCTGTCAGATCGACCTACACGCGCTTTCCCCTGGAAGCGTCGTGCTCGTGCTGAATTCCAGGTCTGTTCATCACGATGGGCTAATTGACCTGACTTTTCATTCTCACCTATCATCCTTTACTGGTGCTCCGCCGGCATATACCGTTAACGCAGGCAGGGTTACCATTCCATTACCATCCATTAAAAAAACACACTACATTATTTGGGTAGCGGTGTCTACTAAAGTCTTAACATGGCTCCAAAATGGCAACAAGTACTGGAGCTGGGATCTTTTCAAGGGAAAACGAAATACGAGTAAGTCAAAGCACAGGGAAATCTGTTTTCCAAACAGAAATGTATGCTGTTGCCACCTGTGCAGCTACGAATCTAGGTAATCATGAAAAAACAATAATATCTATATTTTGAGTGACAGTCAGGTGACTATCAGAGGGAGACTTTGTACAAAAGTCGATTGCTTGGGTACCTCTGTCCCATTCGGGTTTCAACCGTGAAGCAGTTGTGTTTGCATGGCTGTGTTTCGGTTTGAAGGGTGGGATACGGCGTGAATTTACTGGGTACAGAGGAATAACACCTGAGTCCTCAGGAATGGCAACGCATGGGGGGTATCATAGGCGAAACATTATAATCTGTTATGGCCATGGTACTGCTCATGTCTATAGGCGACGGTTATCACTTTCCATCAGGTGGGCCGTCAGCTTGTTTGTCATTCTTAGTTGTATAAAAAAAATATATCAAAGCACTTGTATAATTTTTTTTTAAATACTAATTAGGTATATTAAAATAATATAGCAAAGCTAATTTCAGACTCCTAAATTATGCAGTTCCAAGATAATCGAATTTTAAACTATTCACATTTTACAATCACGTTAATAAATAAATAAACAATTGACTTACCCGTGTGATCATGATTGGATATCGTCACAGAATGACTTCTAGTTAGAGATTATGACATTTAGACTGTCCACTGGAAAAACCTTAAAAAACCACAACGATGGAAAACCGATCAACTAATTCTTATTTGATTGTTACATTCATTTGACAAAAGAAATTATTTATTATTTCGTCTCACTTTACACCTACATACGTGATGTTGTGACGATACAACTTTAACGTTCGATTTTCGCCGCGTTTATTTTGTTTGTGACATAATTTTTTATTTTCACCTCAACCTTAGCCGTACCCGGCCGGTTTTTAAAACAGGTTAGGATTCTATTAAAAGCAAAGTTGATACTAAAAATAATACAGAAAGTATGTATAGATTTATTCCATTAATTATATTAATAAAATACAATGGAATCAAAGCTAATGCATCATTCACTACTTTTACCAGAGGGAAACTTTGTATAAAAGTCGATTGCTTGGGTACTTCTGTCCCATCCCTCTGTTTCAATCGTGAAGCAGTTGTCTTTGCATAGTTGTGTGTCAGTTTGAAGGGTAAGATATGGCGTGAATTTACTAGGTACATAGGAATAACACCTGAGTCCTCAAGAATGGCAACGCATGAGGGGCAAAGGTTACCACTTTCCATCAGGTGGGCTGTCAGCTTGTTTGCCATTCTAAGTTGTTTAAAAAAAACTACTTCTTCTATAAAATAAAAATTTTTATTCATTCATATTATATATATATATATATATATATATATATATATATATATATATATATATATATATATATATATATATATTAACAATACATAGTTAATAACAGCATATTGCATTGGTATATATAACAAACATTAAATATAATACAATATTAATACACACATATATATTTAAATGCACATACCCATTAAAGGGATTCACAGTATTTTGGTTGTTGTTGGCAACCACAATTTTTTTTTTGTAGGACGATAATGGAATGGTAACCCCGTCTGCGCTATCGGTATACGCAGACAGGGCACCAGTGAAGGATGATAGGTGACGATGAAAGCAGGTACGTTAGCCCATCGTGACGAATTCCACAAGAATTAACCACGATAGTTCACAGGGGGAACCGCGTGGAGGTCGACCTGATATGGTGTATTGCTAGTAATGGAGAAATTAGATTCTATCACTAATAATCCCTTTCCACCCACACGCATACTATTTTAACCATTTTCTTGTGTTTTTTATAATTGTCATTGTATTACACGTGAATAAGGTATCATATCTGTGGTTTGAGCCGCCGCCGTGTCCAGTAGTGGGATTTCATTCATTTATTTAGATTAAGGATGCACATTGACCTTCTGATCTATGGAAACCAATGACGATTGTAACCGGTTCTTACCATTAGAACTCTGGTTCCGGTTCGTTATAGATTAGTAAAGTTATAATAAAATGTCTTCACAGGGCCGTAGCTAAACCCATGTTTAAGGTAGGGCAAAAATAACTTTTTGGTAGGGCAAAAGCCATAATTAAGCGACTTCGAATAAGCGAATCTGTATACCCAACCAGGTCGGGGGGAAAGGGATTGTTAGTAATGGAGACTGAGAATCACATTGCTAGCAATATACCCAACCAGGTCGACCTCCTCGCGGTTCCCCCTGGAAATTATCATGGTTAATTCCTGACGAATTCATCATGATGGGCTAACTGGCCTGTTTTCATTCTCATCTATCACCCTTCACTGGTGCTTCGCCAGCGTATCCCGTTAGCGTGGGCGGGGTTACCATACCATTTTCACCTATCAGAAACAAACCAACCAGGTCGACCTCCACGCGGTTCCCTGTGGAAAGTATCATGATTAATTCCTGATTAATTCATCATGATGGGCTAACTGGCCTGTTTTCATTCTCACTGGTGCCCCGCCAAAGTATACCGTTAGCCCAAGCGAGGCTGCCATTCCATTTTCATCCATAAAAAAAAAATCTTGAGGCCTTTAATTTAGTAGGGCATTTTGCCTTTTAAGATAGGGCCCCTCAATACTCCCCCTAGCTACGGCCATGTGTCTTCAATTTGTGATGTCCCACCAAACGACTTCCGTAATATAAGTGGTATCTTTTAATAGATATGGTAATTAGTGTGGTAACCCTGCCAGCGCTATCGGTATAGGTAAGCTGAGTCAGCCCATAGTAACGTTTTTTTTTTCTTAATGGATGATAATGGAATGGTAACCCCACCTGCGCTATCGGTATACACCGGCGAGGCACCAATGAGTGATGATAGATGAGAATGAAAGCAGGTCAGTTAGCCCATTGTAACGAATTCCACTAGAATTAACCACGATGGTTTCCAGGGGGAACCGCGTGGAAGTCGACCTGATAGGGTATACTACTAGCAACGGCTTCATTAGACCCCATTACTAACAATCCCTTCCCCCCTATCGTTACGTATTCATCAGCAACTATTAACAACGATAGTTTCCAAAGGAGACTGCATGAATGGCGACTCATCATCTTCATGTGAGCCCTTAACTGTCCACTGCTGAACATAAGCTTCCCCCTTGGGAGCTTGCTAGTTGCCATGCTTGGTAGGCCGCCTGCCAAGCATAGCAACAACTGGCAAACCCACTTCCCCCCCCCCCCCTTATAGAGAAGGCCTATTTTCAGCAATAGACAGTTAACGACTAATACGACACATTGTCATTTGATCAGGCTCCAATAATTTAGAGATACGGGTTTGAATCCTTTTATATCAATCTGTTGAGATGTTAAATTTATTCAAAACAATTTTTTTTTCATCCTTTTGAAACATATCTAGGCACATATCTATATGTTATAAATAAATACCACAGTTTTTTTTTTATTAAGTTAGACATTAGACAAAAGTCATAGGTAAATAATACTATTACCGTTTAGCAACATAAATAAAAACAAATCTTTTTTGAAAGGCTATATTTATTCAATCTTATGAATTTAGCAATATTTACATATATATACATATGCACATAGTCGTAGCTACGTACAATTGACCCATTTGTTGTATAACTAAACTTAAAAACTATTAAAATTAACATGAGCAGGATTCAAATAATAGTAAAATCAATGTCCGTTATACACAGCCAAAATCTTTACCCAAAAATTGTTCGTAGTCAACTTGGAATGGTGAATAAGCTGATGGTTCACCTGATGGAAAGTGGTAACCTTCGCCTGTAGACATGAACAGCACTACGTCATAGAATGCACTGTGTCCATAGTCCATGGTAATTCTCTCACGTGTTGCCATTCTTGATCAGCACCGAGTTCAAGGAGCGGAGATACAAAGGGCGTCAGGTGCCACGTATTTTTGAAAGATCAATTAATACTTAAGTAAAATTTTTTTTTTATACAACTTAGAATGGCAAACAAGCTGATGGCCCACTTGATGGAAAGTGGTAGCCTTCGCCTGTAGACATGAGCAGTACCATGGACGTAACAGAGTATACTGTTTCGCCCATGATACCCCGCATGCGTTGCCATTCCTGAGGAATTCAAGGGGAAATCCAGGAAGTTAGTTTCAAGGGCACTAAAAAAAATTTTATAGGGTGGAATTAAAATCGTTGGCAACGTAAAACTAAGAATGTATCTGTGGTATAAAACATGTTAAAAATAAAATTATAGGAATAAAAAATTCAAAACGATAATAAAATTTCGAAATTTCCATATCTTATGTTTGTATGGGAGGCTCAAATTTGTTTGCATCTTTTCGAGCCATGTTTCTTTGGTGACAAAGTTCAGTTTCGTTAGGAGAACACTTCTTTCAAAGGATGCTAACGGTTTTAATTCCAATCTGTAGATTATGCTACGGTCAGCCCTGTCTCCATTTATTGGCGTTGTGTCCCCTCCCTGATAGCGTCAGTGAACTTGATAGTGCAGTCCCTGGTCGCCATGTTGGGTTTAAGGAAGTCGGTGAGGTTACGGGCCTCGGAGCGCCGGTCGAAGGGGAAGCCCATGTGCCTCTTGTCTGGGTACTTGCGGTCCCGGAGGCCGCAGTACGAGGCGGCGTCGTTGCATGCACCGACCGTATCTTGTTCGATCTGGTGATGAAAGTAAGTATATAGTACACTAATTTGTCCCCGCGACTTCGTTTGCCTGACCAGGATGTGTTGATAAATAATAATAAAAAGAAGCCTATATCACTCTGTACCCCAAATACTATGTGTTTGTTATATAAATTTTCAATACGATCATTTGAGCCAAAACACCAAGAGTAACAAACAAACTCACTGTCATATTTATAATAATAATAATGTACAAGGACAGCGAGAAGATTCTAGCAGTCCTATTACCATCAGGTCATCCTGCACACTCTTGGAAACCAACATGGTTAAATCCCAGAGAATTCGTCACGATGGGCCAACTGATCTGACAACATCTTTATCTATTCGTCCTCACAGGTACCTCACCAGCATAAACCAACAGCATAGGTAAGGTTATTATTCCATATTTATCCACTAAAAAGCCGTTTACCATCACACAGACACTGTGCTTGTTTGCCATCATTGTTTTTGTTAATTTATTTTTTTAATATTGAAGGGTCCCGCGATTGATCACGATCTCGAAAAGCGTTGGTGGTCTAAGGATATCGCGGGCACACGAATAGGCTATTCACTTAAATTGGTGTAGATTATATATTTGGATGGAAAAACAGCAAAAGCAAAAAACAGAAAAAAAAGAGAGAGAGTTTTCACTCCTTGGCTTGGTATGATGAAGGTTAGTTAGTTACTTTAGCCAAGCTTTTTCGCACTAATCTTCTGAATTAAACCGTCCTACATGAGAGGGTTGTTATTCTAACCAATCTAGAGTGTACATATTTTACTGATCTAGGTGTTATAGTCTAGACTGTTTTCGAGTACCAGGAACCCATCGTTATGCTATAAAAAGGTTATTTATTAGAATTGTAACTCACTTTATCAGCATTCCAGTCAGAAACCATAACGTATAAAACGACAGGGTAGCCCTGCTCCGTTCCCTTGGGTATCAGCATGTGGTGCGGCCAGCCGCAGCCGCAGAAGTCAAACTCTGCAGCGGTGGCGGAGCCCGGGTCTCCAGGCCGGTTCGCCTGGTTGCGGAATGTCCTCTCGAAGGGAATAGTCACTGAGGAGTCCAAACTTCGTTGGCGGATTGTGTTGTTGCCAGGTTTCACTAGAATTAAGATGATGATGTTATAAAATAAATTTATATACTAATTTATATATCTAGGTGCTACTGAGATTATAAGATATATTAGAAAGTGGTTTATCAAGATCTATATCTGGAGTATATTTTTGTATGGATGTGAGACGTGGACATTAACTCAGAAATAAATAGATAAACTTAGAGCCTTTGAAATGTGGTGTTGGAGAAGAATGGAGAAAATTTGCTGGAGAGATCAAATTAGTAATGAGGAGGTCCTACTTAGAGTTAAGAAAAAGGGACAAATTATAAAAACTATTGAAGTCAGCAAAGAAAAATATTAGGACACTTGAATACAAGGAACTTATGAACATTATAGTAGAAGGTAAGATAGAAGGAAGGAGGGGAAGAGATAGACCAAGGCATAACAACATTGGGCAAATCAAGGGAAAAGTTGGTGTTGTAGCGTATCAAGAGGTGAAGAGATTCACAGAAAATCATAGTGAGTGGAAAAAGCTCCACCAACAAGAGCGCAGCTCTTAAATAAGATACATAGAAGTGCTGAGAGGCCTATTCAAAATTGATTATCAACCCAATGTAGTTCACTACTCGATATGGTCCACCACTACAGTACGAAGCAGATGCACATCACACATTGAAGTCATCAGTCCATCCAGCAAGGTGTCATTGTAGTCACACGGTAATAGCATGATTTTAATCAATCCATTACAATAACACTCACGTCCCCTAGTGAACTTGTCCAGTTCGATCATGAGGCGCCTCTGGTCCTCGAAGGCGAGCGGCTGCCCGCGCTCGTCGGTCTTCGGCGCCATGAACACGCGGAACGTGCCCATCTTCGACTGCCCGCTCGTGTTGTTTACCTCGATACTGCACAATGCGAGGAATATACTGCTTTATAGTAATCCAAACGAGTTAAATTAAACTAGGAATGTTAAATTAGTTAATGAGCTATCAGGTAGCAGAGCATGATTTGTGAAAGACGTCTATTCGAATACCTCTAAACCTCTAGTGTTTCTGCCGCATTTTTATGGGTCACAATGGAATGGTAACCCCGCCTACACTACCGGCTTACGTTGACGGGACACCAGTGAGAGATGATAGGTCAAGATGAAAGCAAATCAGTTGGTCCATTGTGACAAATTCAACATTTATTAACCGCGATGGTTACCAGGAGGAACCAGGGTAGGTTGACCTAATATTAGGGTATATAATTAAGCTTTTAGATCCCATTACTAACAATCCCTTTTCCCTCTATTTCTGCCGCTGTCATAGCTGTGTTTCACTTTTTCTCCTAGTTGGGTACACTTAGTCGAACTAGGTGTTCCGTTCTCGCTTCGTTCTTATATCCTAACAGGTCGACCTCCACGTGGTTCCCCCTGGAAACCATCGTGGTTAATTTTCGATAAATTCATCATAATGGGCAAACTGGCCTGCTTCATCTCACCTATTATCCCTTACTGGTGCCCCGCCGATGTATACCGATAGCGCGGGTGGGGTTACCGTTCCGTTATCACCCATAAAAAAGATATTATAATATTTTGCTAGTATCGCTGCCTCGCCACACTCACGTAACATATAAAACATTATGTGATTTCAGCTCATTGACTTAAAACTAGTTATCCGGCCCGGTTTTGCACAATTTTTGAAAACAATATTTATAGCTATATATATATTATAGCTATATGATAGATGAAAGAATTTAAAAAGAAAACGTTTAAATTCATTACAAACAAACAAGTCCTTCCTCTTTATAAATATATTAAAATATATTCGAAACTCACACATAAGTGAATTCCTCGTGCTGCAAGTGCGTGAACTTGGCGAGCACGCTGCCACGAGGAGTGAAGTCCAGCCCCTGGGACAGTTCCACCAGGCTCTGCTGCCACTGGGTCGCGAAGCGGTTGGCGCCGGCGGGACCCTCCACGCTGATGGATGATACCCGTATGCCGGGGTAGTCCAACTGTGCATGTAAAAAGAAATTAATTTAATTGCGTTTAAACAGCGGAATGGATTATATGTGGACTTATTATTATGTAGACACGAGAATAGTAGTTTAAAATTCAAAATAAAAAAAATTTAAGGCGAAAAAAAAACAACTAAATAATGAAATAACAACAACATGTCATGATATGTCTGATAAATTTCAATTTATTTAATGTAATAATAAACTTGATAATAAAATAATAAATGTCACATGAATTAATAATTATCGAAATATCACATAGGGGTGAACGTTGACAGAAACAATCAAAATGAAACTTTATGAAATAACTAGCTTTTACCCGCGAGTTCATCCACCAGAGGGAGACTTTGTACAAAAGTCGTTTGCTTTGATACCTTTGTCCGATTCGTGTTTCAATCGTAAAGCAGTTGTGTTTGAATGACTGTGTTTCGGTTTAAAGGGTGGGATATGGTGTGAATTTACAGGGTACAAAGGAACAACACCTGAGTCCTCAGGAATGGCAACGCATGGGGGGTATCATGGGCGAAACAGTATATCTATTATATCCATGGTACAGCTCATGTCTATAGGCGACGGTCACCACTTTCCATCAGGTGGGCCATTAGCTTGTTTGCCATTCTAAGTTGTATAAAAAAAGATCTTCGCGTACAACGAAAACAGCTTAGAAACTTTTAACGGCAGAGGGCGCTTTGATACGGCAAGTAATAGTTTTAAACTCACCTGACTGTCTCCGTAGGGCGTGAGCTTGCTCTTGTAAAGATTGAATATGTCATCGATGTAGGCGTGCCAGCGGTAGAACACCGGGTCGCGCATCGCTGTCGCCGAGTCGCCCATCACGCCGTACTCTTCCTGTTGTTATTGCAAAAAAAAAATAATACATATCCCAGTAGAGGTTCTTCCAAGAGACTACAGTATGGGGTTCTTCAAAAAAGGGGTAAAGTTTCATCAGGGTCGAGAACGCGCACGTAGTACCCCTGATACTGGTTTTCATAGATTACAGTAACCGGTTACCATAAGGTGGGCCGTTTGTTTGTTTGCCACCTCAGTGGTATAAAAAAAGTCTATGACATTCTCCGTTATTATTGGCAACGGTTACCACTTCCTATCAGCTGTCCGCTCATTTACCATTTGTGTCGCTCTTCGTTGAACGTGAACCTTAATTGTAACTGGGAATGTATTTAGAGTTTTGGGGTAGTTAGGTCTTAAAAGAAAGAAAAGAAAAAACGAGAGTGAAGAGAAGAAGAAATGAGAACTACATTCTTCATCAAAGAGTCTCATATAGCTATTATGTTTCAGTTTGAAGTCTGGGATACGACAACGGATCAATTGTTTTATAAAAGGCGGGATTTAAAACATGCAGCGCCAATGTTTTAAAGTTAATCAACCAATTATTAGGTATCGAGGCATAACACCTTAATCCTCAAAAACACGAGTATAACACATGAAACGTCTATGGTGTCACAAAGCATTTTGTGACGAATCATATCTATAGATTAGTTAAAGGTCAAGACAGGTCCAAGGTTTAAGAGAAATTTTACCAGAGGGAGACTTTGTACAAAAGTCGATTGCTTGGGTATCTACCTCTGTCCCATTCGTGTTTCTACTGTGAAGCAGTTGTGTTTGCATGGCTGTGTTTTGGTTTGAAGGGTTGGAATTTACAGGGTACAGAGGAATAACACCTGAGTCCTCAGGAATGGCAGCGCATGGGGAGTATCATGGGCGAAACAATATACTCTGTTATGTCCATGGTACTGCTCATGTCTATAGGCGACGGTTACCACTTTCCATCAGGTGGGCCGTCAGCTTGTTTGCCATTCTAAGTTGTATAAAAAAATTAAAATGATACTGACCAGATGGCGATGGTCGGGGTCATGCGAGTATGCTATGAAGACATGGCCCATGTTGTGCAGGTCCCCGTAGTAGCCACGGTTCAAGCTCAGGATCGAGGACTCCATCAGGTTGCCGAGCTCGTCGATGCCGGTCTCCTCGTTCAGTGGTACCTTCCTGCCGTTTGGCTGAAAACACCCAAATACTTTGTAAATTTCCTAAGCATGCAGCAGAGTAGATCTTAAAACATCAATTAAACCTAACTGCGGTTGCCGCCTGCTAAGCGTGGCAATTATTGGCAAAATCCTCCCTTACGAGGAAGGTGTATGTTCAGCATTAGACAGTTACCGGCTGATATGATACGACACTACCATATATCATAAATACCAGAGAGAGACTTTGTACCAATCTCGTTTGCTTGACCACCTCTGTCCCATTCGTGTTTCAACCGTGAAGCAGTTGTGTTTGCATGGTTGTGTTTCGACTTGAAGGGTTGGATATGGTAGTGGATTTACAGTGGCAACAGATGGAAGATATCATGGGTATTACTATTTCTTTTGTGATATCTATGGTGTTGACAATGACACTTTGCGCCAAATGGATCATCAGCTTGTTTGCCGTTTTAAGAATCACAACAAAAGTTACCATGTTGATGGCATTGCTGTCGATGGCCTGCAGGAACCTGTCACGCCACGTCTCTAGCTGGAAGACGTCGATCTTGATCTCATTCACCGGACGGTCAATATCCCTGATCACTGTGTTGGCAAACCTGTCAACATGGTGATTATGGTTCTTTACTAAAGCCTGCAGAAAACGCAGCAATGCTAACTACATATTGCTAAGTGATTATTTCGTTATTCTAATCTTATTAGGTCTGGTCTCTTAGAAAAATACTGAAATTATTTGTATTCCTGTACATACAATAATATTACTAACACAACAAAATTATAACTCAGCGATTTTTGTACTTGAGCGATATTTAAGAAAATATAATATGAGGGATCTTTCTGTTATAAGCTCTTGTTTTGTCTTTCAATGAAAGCCAAAACAAAATTTTATAGAAATTTTGTGTATTCGTCTGCAAATACGACTGCATCAAATTGGATGCGGTTTTCACAGTTGTGTTCTTGAAAGTTTAACTTAAAATTTAGTGTATGTTATATTTTGTCGTGATATGCCATCTAGAAGCAGTCTACTTCATTATTTTCTTCTGAAATCCACGGCTGCAAAGTAGCAGATATAAGCTAGTATAGAATATTAATATTACCTTGGCGGCCAGGAGCGACTGGCGACCTGGCTGTCGAGCTTGGGGAAGTAGCCCTCGCCAATGGGCGCACGGAAATCGCTGTACCGGGTAACACGGCCCAGACCATTACACAGTCGCTCCGCGTTGTATCTGAAAAATACAAAACAAAAATGCTTCATAACTACATTTATCATTCCATTATCATGCGTTAAAAAAAACTACACCAATCTCTATTACAAAAATTAGAAAAATAAATTATTCATTTGATAATTTATACATGACTAAAGGTGGACTACATATGCCAGAGGGACACGAGTTGAACTATTGGCGAAATCCCCCAATAGGTGGACGTCTATGTTGGTATGGTGTTTATACTGTATATATTTAGAAGTCAGAAGGATAATCAACTATAGATAGACGCTATGATGCTACAGAAACAACATGTCGAGACTGATATTTCAAAACTTCTTGTTTTTATGTAGAGAATTAATTACCAAAAATCCTGAGGTCTTCCAAAAACTATACTAACCTAGCGATGATCTGTTGATGCATGTAATAGAACAGTTCTCCCCTGCGGTCCTTCTTGACAATCTCGCGGGCGGCCTCGAAAGGGTACACGAGGTGCCAGTGCCAGTGGTGAAGGTTGATGCCGATGTCTTCGCGGAAGTACGCCACCCGCTGCTCCGGCTCTGAGTTCGACGCGGTGTAGTTGGTTGGGATGGTTATTGGCATCTGTGGATTGGGCATCAAGGTCTTGTATTAATTAAATCAAAATTCTAAATGACTTCTCCTATGAATCTTCTCTTCTGTTATGAATGTGTCTTAATTGTTTCGGTTACTACAACCCTTTCTCGATGTTCGTGGATCCTCATGACTAGTATATAGTCTATCTTGTTCACGAAAGCACGTTTTGCGACACGAATTTCACCTCTTAACGAGTTATCCTCAGTCAAACTATTAGATCGCTTCTTCTTCTTTCACCCGTTCGACATCCAAACTGCGAAAATTCGATGATTTCGAATTGCCGTTTCGTCCGGACGTTGGATTGGATTGGTTGGCTGTCGGAGATTGATGGCTAATATGGAAGATTGTAGAACTTCTGGTAATAATAATAGTAGTCGATCTTCGAATGTTGATCAACACACTTACCAATGGTTGCAGAATTAAACAAAATAATTCAAACCAAATAACATTAATTTATTTTATTCTATTCTACCGCCACGTTTAGAAAATATGTTTCAAATAAAAAAAGGATGTGAAATTTTAACTTGATTAACGTACCCTGTTACCAGATGCATTGACGGTGGTGGTTTCTCGGGCCTTCCTGAACACCTTTGGATCCATGAACTTGTCAGGGAACGTCTCCACCACCGGTGGCACCTGCAGGCCTTTCGTGTCCGGCCTGAAATATAAATACATAATACAACTTCTATTTCTTCCACCTGGCGTTCTTATTCCCGGCTATTGCCATAAGGGTCCGCCTTCCAACTCAATTTCCTCCGCTTTTCTCGGTCTTCAACATCCTTCGTGTAAAGACCATTGGCTTCCATGCCTTGAACCACGCTAATTACCAGCATTTTTTTAGAGCGACCGCAAGGTCATGGTCATTTCCCAACTAACATCTCTAATATGCAACTTATTATCATCCATCTTTCATACGATTTTTTCATACAATCTTACAATGATTAAATCTTAAATACCATCAGCATAAAGAAGAGTATCATCCATCTTTATCGATTAAAAAAACCTATGAGTACTTTTGCATATGATAATATTTTAAAATAACTAGTGCAGCTAATCTATTTGATTACACTAACCTGTGCAATATGGCGACTGAGAGACAGTAGTTGAACATGTAAGGGTTGACCCTCATTTGGCAATACGAGCACAGGGAGATCAGGTCGTCCACGTCACGCATGTCTGGCAACAAAAGTAATGTTTTAACAATACAATGCTGCCGGATATATTTTTGACTAAAATTTGACTGGATGACCTTTAAAATGTGTATTGTTTACTCTAGCTCAAGATATTTTTTATTTTGATAACAAAATTGAAAGGGTAGCCACAGTAAAGTTTCTTTTAACCGACTGCAATAGTTAGAAGATGTTCAATTCAGTTGTATTTCTTACCTCAACTACCTCAGTTGTAAACCGATTTATATCTTTCTATTGTTATTTATACATATTTATTTTGTTTATATAGGTAATTTTAGTATGTATGTATTAATATATCAATAATTACTAGTATCGCGTTGTCGAATATTCTGACTCTTTCCTTCTCGACTGGAAGAGAATGCTTTTACTTATTAAATCCGCCATTTACACATATATGTAGTAATAAATAAACCAAACTACTCCCCCCCCCCCTTCGGCATAATAATGAATGGCGAATGAAGTAGTTAAATATAATAAAGACATATACTAACTTATAAAGATGTCGATAAGCTTGCCAGCCATCCGGCGGTGCTTGGCCACGAACAGTGAGAACTGGTCATTGTAAGGCAGTTGGAGTGGCAGGGACAGGTCGGGCAGGGCGATGTTCTTCACGGGAATGGTGCGCACCTCACCGCTCCCGAACCGGTTCGCCAGGGTGTTGGTCAAACTTTTGTATTTATCCGGCTGATGAAATATATATATATATATATATATATATATATATATATATATATATATATATATATATATATATATATATATATATATATATATCATTTATTATAAAAAATTGTTAATAATGTTTGTTTATTAGATTATATAGATAGAGTGTCTCCATACAAACGCTTCGAGAAATGCGGATCAACTTTTTCATACAATTTTGCGTGATAAATAGTTATGAGTGATTCCTTTATAACTTCTATATTTATTTTGTCTTATAATTTCTATGCCTTTTTAATGCGTAAATACTCATTTTTTTTTTTATTTAATAATTAAATATAGATGCGTCAAGATATATTGTGTGCGTAAGTATATGGCACATAAAAAAACGATTCAGTTAATTTGACAATTAGCTGACAAAAGGTTGGCCCGTTTTTGAGGCTCGATACTCTATCTATACAATCTAATGTTTATATATTAGCAAAATTTGTGATAGTCATTTATGCTTCGTTTTTTTTTTTACAAACTCAAGTTTTGTTTGAAGAAAGCAACGGCTGAATTTCTTGCTCAGCTGAAATTGCATTGCGAACTGGGCGATAGATTCATAAAACAAGCTTATAATTAAGTTTACTTGAATATTGATAAAAAATTATATTTAAGTTAAATAAATACTAGTTTTAAAGAATATTTTTTTCTGATAAACATATTGTATACTAGCTCACGCGAGAAATAGCCTAGTCCTACATAAAAACAAAAGTTTGTGAGGATGAATTTATGGGTGTTTGTTACTCTTTTACGCAAAAAATACTGAATGGATTTGAATGAAATTTGATACACATATAGATTATGATTCTAACTTAGACTAGAATCGCTTGTATAGAACAAAGTCGCGGGATACAGCTAATAAATAACTTACATAGTAATGATCGGGCACTTCGAAGGCGACGTTATCGTCACCTTTCTGCAGGAAACACGGCTCGGACGGCCGGTCGAAGAACAGCAGCAGTCTGCTCTTGGAATCACTCATTTTGTTGTATCTTAAAAGAAATGAAATTTTCGTAAAAAAAAACCTAACTATAGTTTAAATCAATTACAATACTAATTGTTGGCAACCTCAATATTTTATTAAAAATCAATATTTTCATTTTTTTCTTCTATATATGGCAACACTGTGCCACGATATCCTTTACTCTCTTGTAATAAATATGCTATAAGCATTAAATATATTCTCTGTGCCATTATTTGGTATTTTTATTAATCTATACATATAATAAAACTGTAGAGGTCGAATGTCTGTATGTACAAAAAAAAAACACTAAAAACCGAGTCAAGAGGAAGTTAGAAGTTAGAATAGAATACATCCATACCAGAGGGAGACCTTGTACAAAAGCTGTTTGCTTGGGCACCTCTGTCCCATTCTACCGTGAAGCAGTTGTTCGCATGGCTGTGTTTCGGTTTGAAAGGTGGGATATGGCAGTGAAATTACAGGGTACAGAGGTATATATAACACCTGAGTCCTCAGAAATGGCAACGCATGGACGGTATCATGGGCGAAACAATATACTCTGTTATGTCCATGATACTGCTCATATCTATAGGTACGGTTACCACTTCCCATCAGATGAGTAGTAAGCCTGTTTGCCATATTAAGTAAAAATACTTAAGACAGTTAATTTAAGGCATTCAAATTGTTTACTCACATTTAAATTCACGATTGGGACTCGATAACATTTATAAAATAATTTTAGAATCTCTGCATTGAACTGTATTACCCGAAGATTCTTTCCACTGTATGTCACTATTATCCTTGGATAGTACGTGAAGCAATTAAAATTAGAAAACGACCAAAATATTTCATTTAAGGAAAATGAATACAGGCTTTCAACAGCATGGAACTCGATGATTAATATACTTAAGTCACGCGATATGTTTAAACGCTGTGTGGTACTTTTTTTTATGGATGATAATGGAATGGTAACCCCGCCTGCGCTATCGGTATACGCTGGCGGAGCACCAGTGAGGGATGATAGGTGATCAGTTAGCCTATCATGACGAATTCCACTAGAATTAACCACTATAGTTTCTAGAGGGAACCGCGTGGAGGTCGATCTGACAGGGTGTATTGCTGGCAATAGGTCAGTTAGACCCCATTACTAACACTCCCTTTCCCCCTGTGGATACGGTGTGGGGGGTAGATAAAGCCAATAACAGTGATAATGTACTATAGTGGTGGAACAAACTGCATGGGCTACCAGACGAAGAGGCTGCTCATTCAGACTTGCTGTGACCACGTCGGCATCATCCTCAACTGTCACCCTTCACTGGTGCCCTGTTAGCGTATACCAATAGCACAAGCGGAGTTAGCATTCCATCTTCACCCATAAAAAAAAACATAAGCCTGCTTGGGAGGCTTTGCCAGCAGTTGTCACGCTTGGCAGGCGGATTGGCAACCGCAGGCTTTACAGATGTTTTAAGAGGACCGCTGCTGCCTATCTCTCGCTTTACTTAGTCGACTCTTACGACACCCACGGCGTAGGAAGAGATGGCATATTCTATGCCGGAACCACACGGCCAATGTCCATGGCCATGGGCATGGCCAGGGCCATGAAATGTTTTTCGAAATTTCGGAGCCGAACGAAATACAAATTAGATGATTAAATTACATAATACATACCATTTAAAAATATTAAAAATACTAATATATTATGGTTTATTAATGTTAAAATATTTCCTCCCACGAACACTCAGGTTGTGGAATGAGCTCTCTGCCGAGGCTTTCCCAAGAGACTGCAGCATGGGGTTCTTCAAAAGGGGGGTAAAGAGATTTCTTCAGGGTCGGCAACGCGCGCGTAATACCTCTGGTATTGCAGGTGTTCATAGGCTACGGTAACCACTTACCATCAGGTGGGCCATATGCTTGTTTGCCACCTCAGTGGTATAAAAAAATATATATATTCCTCTAAACTTTTATGGTAGTATTTAGAATGAACGAAACATTAAGTTCCACTTACTGGAGCGATTTCGGTATGAACAAAAACTCGAAATTGAGTTTGAATATTCCAAATTTCATATTAGACTGTTTAGTTTCCCTGTCGTAATCGCGTCGCGGTAAGTCCCGATCGTTAATTTAAACAGGACTTGACGTACTATGGGCGTCACTGTATATTCTGTGACGCCCACGTTATTGTTCATCTCTCTAAAATACGGTTACCACTTGTATCAGATGGGCAATCAGCTTATTTACCAATCGATTTACGTAAAAAAAAATTATTGAAAATAGTACTTGGGTAACAAAAATAAATACAAACAATAAACGACTTACCCGTTAAAAGACTTCAGGCAGATTCAAAGCAAATTAATTTAAATATGTTTGTATGTGTTTCAAGCCGTGTAATCACGGCCCGAGTGTGTTAATGCCATACTCTCCCGTGATTTTATAGTAAAACCCCATAAATGTTGTGTGCAAACAGGCGGAACGTGTGCATCATAGTTGACGATAACATTTGCGGTTTACATTATCATATCCACAAATCAGCTGTGAACAGCGGCTTCGTCCGCGTGGAAACCGTATCGTAGGCAGGATATCCTTCTAAATTTCATATTTCTAACTCCACCGAGGGCTCTCATTGACCAATATATTCTCCACGAAGTCCCTCTTGGACGCCATTGTGGATAAATTCAGCTAAATTTGTCACGATAGGTTACATAACCTAACATCACTCACTTGGGGGGGAAAGGGATTGTTAGTAAGCTAGTAGTTAGCCCATCATGATGAATTCATCAGGAATTAACCATGATAGTTTCTAGGGGAACCGCGAGGAGGTCGAAAAGCGCGAGCGGGTATACCATTATATTTTCACCCATTAAAAAAAAACTGGTCGTATGACTTATCTGCAGAATATAAGAAAGTCTGCGTAATATTTAGCACAAACTGATTGTACAAGTCGTTTGCATGGGGGGAAAGGGATTGTTAGTAATGGGGTCAAACAGTCCCATTACTAGAAATATAGCTGTCCATCCCTCAACTATTAAGTTACCTAATGATCTTTTACGACACATACGGGAATGGAAAAGGTGGCCCATTCTATATCGGGACCACACGGTAAAAATGGAAAAATGGAATATGGTAATTAAATTACAAAGTAAACAGTAAAGAGACATAACACCATAGTTCTAAGGGGGAAAGGGATTGTTAGTAATGGAGACTGAGAATCCCATTGCTAGTAATATACCCAACCAGGTCGACCTCCTCGCGGTACCCCCTGGAAACTATCATGGTTAATTCCTGATGAATTCATCATGATGGGCTAACTGACCTGTTTTCATTCTAATCTATCACCCTTCACTGGTGCTCCGCCAGCGTATCCCGTTAGCGCCGGCGGAGTTACCATACCATTTTCACCCATCAAAAAAAAAAAACACCATAGTTCTTAGAAATGGCTACGCATGGACATTATGAGCGTTTCAATATCTTGTGTAATACTTTTAGACGACTGTTGTTACCACTTTACATCAGGTAGACCGTCAGCTTGTTTGCCATTCAAAATAAAGAAATAGAAGCTGCTTTTTAAATAAGTACGTACGAGTATCCCATGCATACCGAAGGTTTTACTTGAAGGCCAGTTAAAATCGATGCAGAATTATAAAAGGCATGTGCTAACTGACGATGCAGACGGCATGTGGCATGTCATGACCTACAATATACCACTAGTGTTTCACATGGCATTTTATATATTTGCAGTTACGAACTGTAGTCACGCAATATTTTGTTTTAAAATATAAAAATTGTTTTGTCTATGGTTTCACTATTTTGTATGTACCTGGCCAGGTATATAATCGTTTTTCCGGTTCAATCCAAAAGGTGCCCCTCCATTGGTTCATAAAGGACCACTAGTCAAAAATAATTTACGTAAGAATAGTCAGGGGAGCTCCAGTAATACATAATGTCTAGGGGGGAAAGGGGTTGTTAGCAATGGAGTTTAACAGCCCCATTGTTAGCAATATGCCCTATTAGGTCGACCTCCATGTGGTTCCCCCTGGAAACCATCGTGAACAATTCTTGTTGAATTCGTCACGATGGGCCAACTGACCTTCTTCATCCTCATCGATCATCCTTCACTGGTACCCCTCCAGCGTATCCCGTTAGCGCAGGCGGGGTTACCATACCATTTTCACCCATAAAAAAAACAATGTCTAGTGATTCGATTAACTTAGTTTTTTTTTTATACAACAGAATGGAAAACAAGCTGACGGTCCACCTGATGGAAAGTGGTAACCGTCGCCTATAGACATGAGCAGTACCATGGACATAACAGAGTATACTGTTTTGCCCATGATACCCCCCCATGCGTTGCCATTCCTGAGGACTCAGGTGTTATTTCTCTGTACCCAGTAAATTCACGCCGTATCCCACCCATCAAACCAAAAGACAGCCATGCAAATACAACTGCTTCACGGTTGAAACACGAATGGGACAGAGGTACCTAAAGCAATCGAGTTTTGTACAGTCTCCCTCTGGTGGTAAGTACGAGTAGGTTGTAAAGAAAACTGCAGATTTGGTTTGTAAGAAAGTTTAATAATTAGAGAAGTATTGAAAATATCTCCAGTGAATGTATCAACAAAGAAACGAAACAATTTAGATACATAAGTACAATATATATATAGCTTGCGCGCTATGCTAGATATTTAGGAATAAAACTCTACAATTAACAACTAAAATTTTCATTAATATAAATACACTAAATGTGAATGTTGCCGAGTCACGTGGAACCTTAAGTATATTAACTAACACAGTACAAACATACACCGAGTGCGCCGGGGACTAAGTGAAGTGGTTCGACGCACGCCACACGAACAGTATCCAGGGAACACGCTCGGCCGCCCGCCCGTCCGCCCGCTCAACGCTCGGCCGCCCGCTCGCACGCTGGCACGCTGACACGCTGGCACGCTGGCTAGCACGCTGGCGTGCCGAGCGTCAAGCGGGCCGAGCGAGCGTAATACTATGTCCGCTGCTAACAACAAAAAATTTAGAGAGCAAGAGGGGCGCACGGCTTAACCGCTCTTGAACAGGAGGATGGCGACTTGACCGAGGTAGAAGTAGATGAAGTGGCGCGTCTCGTGCGTCACGTACGAGCCGAAGTTGCGGCCCACGATGCAGTGCCATGTCGGGTTGTATTTCTTGTCAAACTCCTTCTTGATATACGCCGCTATATCCTGCAATAACAAACAGCGTTCATGATACCATTAACAATCAAATGATACAATTTTTATTACACTGTTCATATTTTACATGTTCATCTTACATCTTGCAAGCAAGAAAGTGATATGAAAGATTAAAAGACAGACAATTTCATGTACAGGGACTATGTTCCTCAGAGTACTGCCATTAATTTGATATGTTAATACAATGCAACCTTATACTAATAACTACAAATTAAAGATATTAATATAAATACTTTGGATGCTCTATGATTTCCTTGTAAGGAATTACTGTATAAATCTGTTTACTACAGCAACTTTAGTTTACTTTTCATAACAACGGTCAAATTGCTCAATACAATCATGTGAAATTGTAATATTTTTGAATGGAAACAATCTATGTGTACTTGACCACAACAGGAAAACCACTTAAATTCAATTTTATCATTGTGAGAATGTAGCACGCCGCACACGCCGCCCGCCGCATTACTACAGCCATTGTAATGAGGCACAGCTTGTTTAGCGTACGCCACTAGGTCAATTTATATAAGTGTACCAAATGTAACACTTCCTTCAAGTACAAAGTTTTAAAGGTTGTAAGAGATAACTGATACAGGATATGAAGTTGATTAATGTTCGAGTGTTCTTAAGAATCTAGAATATTCTGTGTATTTTTATTATTATTATTTATTTATTTATTTATTTACCATGCAATAAGACACAAAAACTTAAGAATTTTTAGTACCACTTAAACCTATACTTTTTTACTTTTATGTTATTTATTAGAATTCATTGCAATCAGTTCATTCTTGTTTATAGTGAGAAATGGACATGGATAAAATACAAAATTATCCTGCCCTTATTCCGTACCATTTTGGGTCTGCAAAATATGTAAATAAATAATAATGTTTCAGTCACCCCTCTGGGGCAGTATTGTAACATTTTTTAAGAACTAATGACTTGCTCTGAATAAATTTCAGTAAAATATGTAAATTTTTCACCAACCTAATGACAAAACTCGCCTTATATTCTACATACATTTAAAAAGTAAAAAAGCCCCGTCTCTAATAAATATAAATCATGAAATAAAATTACTTGACCTTGAATTTAAATATGAAAAGTACACATCAAGCTACTTTTTGTGCTTAGGCCATTTATTAGATATAATATGGATATTTAGTATCTAATATTTATGTCATTATGTAGGTAATATTGTAATGATTAACAGACCAACTTACTTTTTCTATATTAAATTTCTCAAGTGCTTGTGTTGCACAGTCTACTGCATCCTGCTGCATCTCTTCGCTCATGTCGGCATTCTTGATCACCGCCTTGCGGTCACACATCTTGTCAGCTGTGTTTCTGGCAATTAAAATATTATTTCATGAAATTAACTTTATTAAAAGTGCCTTTATAAGATTGACAAGACTATTGCATATTGTCTTCAAATATGCAAGTACCTCTATATACCTATTTTTAATATATTCTGGATCAAAAGAATAATCTGTGAAGAACTCTCTAGAATAAAATCACATAAAACAACTTTTAAAAAGTTGTTTTAAAATTTTAATACAAAAAAAAAACTATTGTTTAAACACACTTAAATATCTTATGATCACTACACTAACGCAATTTTATTGTTTTCGTCAGAAACACGACGGTAGTCATGTTTAACTTTCCGTCGCGCGATAACAAGAGATTAGCGATAGCGACGCGAGATGCCTCAAGCCACAATCAAAACATATCTGTAGCTCTCTCAACATCACGCCTAATGGTCATTGAATGTTTATATTCAATAACAGTGCAAAGCTATAAATAGACTCCAGTAAAGGTCAGGTGCTACCCGGGACTCCAGCGCGCCCTTTATGAAATTACCGTGCGATTCAACATAACACGAGGTGTTTTTGCTACCTTACATGGCTCTTCATATATAGACTACAATGCAGTATACCTGAACTCCTGGACGCACTGCGGACGTTTTTTTGTGCTAATTCGAACGGAAGCGGTTGCAGACAGGCCCGTCATCAATAAAAATCGAGGAAAAGCGCGAACTACTCGCGTATCGATATGGATTTTCAAACAAGATAAAACTTATCTATTCTAGTAGGTTATTAGTTTAATACCATAGAAACGTAAAAGTTTGATCAATAGAGTCAATTTGAAGTACATTTTAGCAAATACACGAGGATCGAGACCGCTTCTATAATACGCTATGCACCATTTCGTGATTATTTCAAAAACTACTCAACAACTTTCACTGAATAATAATAATAATGATTAATAGAAACTAAATGAACACCAAAATAATAAAATACTCACTTTTGCTTCGGGATAAGAACAAATTCTCACGTAAAGATTTTGATACCGGAGATTCTATGACTACTTTCTAGTGGATTCTTTCAGAGGCTTCTTTCAATAAATGTTTCTTCGTAGTGCTGCAGATGGCGTTCGAAATTCAAAAGATTAAAAAATGACGTGTATTTTGCTGCGTTCTTCAAATAGTTCGATTTTCAGCCAGTGTTTTAAAAATCAAGAAAATAAAGTTCATAATAATTAATATCTATTTCATAATAAATTTAAGTAATGAAATACTTTTATATTAAATGAATATAGAAAACAATCGTCGAGATATTTTCTTTATTTTTTGTTAAAGATTTTCATTTATAGATAATAAAAATGACTAATATAATAATATTGAGTAATTATAGTGTATTCAATTATATACCTATGTATATTACAAACAGTATATACATAGATTTAAAATTGATTTAGTTTGTAATAATTGTTGTTTGAAAATCCTTTAAATAACTGTGTATGTATCCCTTAAATAACGGTATATTATAAATATCTGAAAAAAATTGTTACTACTAACTAGAAGTACGATTTAAATTTATTACAATAAAAATTTATTTTAATACAACCCGATTTGTTGCTCATAACTTTAACAGTCATAAAAAACCATTTTAAAAGGACATGAACGCATTATTAAAAAAAAATTGTATTTCCTTTTCCTAGCATGCCTACTGTCAATTAGACATTATAACGAGACGCCATATTTTATTGAGTGATACATGTAACCCAACGAATATTTGCGTCGAAAGTTGTAACGCGAATGGAATTGAAAATCTTGTTTAGCTATTAGTAAATCTTATTAAATTCATATCTCTTATATATAGTAACTAATTACTATGTCCGGTGGAAGCGGTAACAACAGAAATGAGTGCAGGATATATGTCGGTAACTTGCCTCCGGATATCAGGACAAAGGACATACAAGACTTATTCTACAAATTCGGTAAAGTCACATTCGTCGATTTGAAGAATAGAAAAGGACCACCATTTGCTTTCGTAGAATTTGAAGATCCCAGGTGAGTACATTGCAAAATGGTATAAAAATATGTAGAGTTGCAATGCAATGACGCACATAAATATTTAAACATCGTTTTTATGTCCACTTGTTCTTATTGTTTGCCTAGCATTCGACAGTTACATAATAAAATAAATTATCTATGGCGCAAAATTGTGGATATTTGTAGCCATTTTAATTGGACTTCATTCAACAAACCTACTTTAATAATGATCGGGAGACCGTAAATCGAGCATAACAAACGAACTTGCTGTCATATTTACAATATTAGTAATTACTAGTTGTATCCCTAAACTTTATTCCAATAAAAGTATCCTATGTTAATCTAGACATGATGGGGAAAAGTGATTGTTTGCAATGGGGTCTAATAGCCCCTTTGCTGGCAATATACAGGTCAATCTTCACACAGTTCCCCGTGAAAACCATCATGGTTATTTGTTAAATGTGTCCTATAAGGCAAACTGACCTGCTTTCATTCTCTGATGTTATCTCTTACTGGTACCCTACCAATTAAAACCGATAGTACAGGCAAATATACCATTCCATTCTTACGTAATAAAAAGAAACCTTGACATGAATGTTCTAACACTTCCCTAAAGTTAACTGAGAGAGAATGCTTTTATTGTTTTATCCTTAAGTCCGCTTTGTACACATATAGGGACCAATGAATAAATAAAAATAGTAATATGTATGTTTACATGAAAGTAAGAAGTAGACTAAATATAAAAAGGAATTTAAGGTTAAATACAATTCTGCAAATTGTATTTAACCTTAAATTAACTATAACCTAATTTTAATTCTTAATTTTGTTTTGCTTACCGATCCTATACAATATATTTTGTATTTTGGGAATAAATGTGCAGATAAATATGTTACTACAACAATTATCTGACATAACTAATACCTTTGATAAAAAAAAAGTTTTAATAAATTTAAAAAAGAAAAATCTTTGATGTGATAAAGATTAAAAAAAGTTTATTTGACAAATTAGAAAAGGTTATATTGACCATAATCTGAACAGTCAACTTAATGACTGCCTGCCCCATCTGGGATTACTACTGTGAGCATGTTTGTAGTTATTAAAAAGTTTTTATATTATTGCATCCTTGTCTCTTATCAATGTATGCTTTGCAAATAATTATTTGCATGTCAATGATAACCACCTGCATAAATATTGTCAATTAACAAATGATCCCCATATATTTAATTGTTATTTCATGTAGAAACAGTTGTGTGTAGTTTTATTAGGCATTAACAGAGAACATCTCTGATATGAATTTTTATTTAACATTCTTCATATAATGTCTTTTCACCTTTCACTCAAAAATACTAAATTCAAACAATTTCTTCCACCTCATTCAACTCAAATTTATTATTGTACTTTTTTTAATTGGGCGATAATGGAATGGTAACCCCGCCTGCGCAGGAGGGGCACCAATGAGAGATGATAGGTGACAATAAAAGCAGGTCAGTTAGCCCATCATGACGAATTCCACTAGAATTAACTACAATGGTAATTCCAGGGGGAACAGCTGTGTTTCGGTTTGAATGGTAATATTCGGTTTGAATATGGTGCAAATTTACTGGGTACAGAGGAATAACATCTGAGTCCTCAGGAATGGCAATGCATGGGGGTATCATGGGTATACTCTGTTATGTCCATAGTACTGCTCATGTCTATAGGCGACGGTTACCACTTTCCATCAGGTGGACCGTCAGCTTGTTTGCCATTCTAAGTTGTATAAAAAAACATCACTTTATGTGACCATGATAATGAAATGTTTTAATAACAATTTTATTAAGATAAAATAGTACTATAATAATGCTTATTTTATATGCCTTATTTCTATAAAAATACCATGCTGTTACCACAATGAATGTTTGAAGATAGTGTTTGTATCTATCACCCAACCTATTTACTATTTGGTTATATATGTATATGTAAATATCAATCTTGGTTATTATATTAGTGTGTGTTGAATTTAAAATCCCTTATCTTAGCTGAATGTTAACCATGGTTTCAGTAATATGTTATCATTGGTACATCATACAATGTATTGCATTCAAGTATTTTTAAAAATAGTATTATTTTGATAAGTGTTCGGAACTGTAAGTTTTTTTGTTGACTGCATTTATTACTGATTAATAAAACTATATGTAGTGTAAGATTACACTGCACATAGCGTTCAATTGTTCCTACCTTTGCATTGGAGCAATTTTTATTTTCAACCGTAAAGCAGTTGTGTTTGCATGGCTATGTTTCGGTTTGAAGGGTGGGATATGGCGTGAATTTACCGGGTACAGAGGAATAATACCTTAGTCCTCAGGAATTGCAACGCATGGGGGTTATCATGGGTGAAACAGTATACTCTGTTATGTCTATGGTACTGCTCATGTCTATAGGCGATGGTTACCACTTTCCAACAGGTGGGCCATCAGCTTGTTTGCCATTCTAAGCTGTATAAAAAAAACTAATTTATAAAAAGGAGTTTCTCAAATTGGTTGTATTTTTTTTTATTGGTCTCATAAAAAAATTATCAAAATTAGTTCAGTAGTTCTAAAATCAAAATAACTGGTTTTTCCACAATTGAAGAGAGTTTTTTTTTTTTATAGAACATTATCTTAAGTACTTATCATTTACTTATACAATGACTAATGCTCTGTGATGATGCTATTATTATTGTTACTGCTGTACTCCCATCATGGAACTGACATTTCATAGTTTTACAAGAAATGTTTAAAAAGATGGCAACACACTAGCTAAATTTTGTATGTTGTAAGTCTTTATAGGTGGCGATACCCTCAAACGGAGATTTTTTATATTATGAAACAGAATGGCTAACAAGTTCATGGCTCACCTGATGGAAAGTGGTTACTATTGCCTATAGACATGATCAGCACCGTGAACGTCATGGAATACTCTGCGATACCCGTGGTACCTTTCATGTGTTGCTACTCTCGAGTATTGTGGACCATTATGGACCGGCGGCTCGGGCTGCCTAGCAGCCGACAATAAAAAGTGGGCAGCATCGCGTGAATGGGAATGCCGTGGCAGGGACGCGGACGACGCGGTGCGCGCGCGCGACGGCTACGACTACGACGGGTACCGGCTGCGCGTGGAGTTCCGCGCGGCGGCGGCGGCGGCGGCGGCGGCGGCGCGCGCGGCCGCGGCGGCGCCGAGCGCTTCGCCGGCCGCGCCGCCGCCCGCGGCCCGCCCGCGCGCCGCTCCGACTACCGCGTGCTCGTCACCGGCCTGCCGCCCTCCGGCTCCTGGCAGGACCTCAAGGACCACATGCGCGAGGCGGGCGACGTCTGCTTCGCCGACACCTTCAAGGACGGCACCGGCGTCGTCGAGTTCCTGCGCCACGAGGACATGAAGTACGCCGTCAAGAAGCTCGACGACTCGCGCTTCAGGAGCCACGAGGTGCGTCCCGTCCTAGTCCTCCTCCTCAAAACGAATCTCTTATACCTTCGATGTCATTAAAATATTAACCTTCTAGGGCGTACAGTCTAACATCCCATTTCTTGAAAAATTACACCCGTCCCTTGTAAAGATAAACAGTACCATAGACTTATAAACTTTGACTCCCATAATACCACTACATTGTCATCCCTGAGGATCGATGTTTCACACCATCTTATCCAGTAGTTTCTCCACCATGTCAAACCTTTTTGAAAAGTAAAATAGCTTAATACATAGTATAACAGTCAAGGTTAAGTTCAACCGTAGCTACCGTGACCCCCGCGTCACCGATATCGCCATACAAAGACAGTTTTGTCTCTATCGAGTTTAGACTCTGATGGGGTACCAACAGTAACTGTGTTCATATGTATCGCGGTACCCTCTTCCTAGTAACTACATACCAGATTTTTGTTTCTGTCTTTACAATGTGGATTGCATCTTTTTTTTTATGGATGGTAATGGAATGGTAACTCCGCCCGTGCTAACGGTATACGCTGGCGGGTCACCAATGAGGCATAATAGATGAGAATGAAAAGGCAGGTCAGTTAGCCCATCGTGATGAATTCACCTGGAATTCAGCACGATGGTTTCCAAGGACGACCACGTGGAGATCGACTTGGTTGAGCATATTGGAATGGAACTAGTAATCCGCATTGCTAACAATCCCATCCCCCCATGGGGATTGCATCACGTCAACGTCCTGTCGTGATCACGTATTGGCCCGACTATGATTTTAGATATGCTTAATAAATATATAGCTCATAAATATACTGCTTGGCGACAGGAACACAAATAGAGATACTTATCTCCCTCTGCTATAGGTGTTCCAAATCATATCTTACAAAATCCTATGAATGAAAAGAAGATAGGTGAATCGTATACGTGATGCTAGCCAAGAAAATGGGGGGGAAAGGGACTGTTAGTAATGAGGTCTAATAGCCCCATCACTAGCAATGTACTCTCTCAGGTAGACCTTCACATGGTTCCCCCTGGAAACCATCGTGGTTCATTCTTGTCGAATTCATCATGGTGGCCCAACTGATCTGCATTCATTCTCACCTATCATCTTCCACTGGTGCCTCGTCGGTGTATACCGATAGTGCGGGTTACCATTCTGTTTTCACCCATAAAAAAGCTAAGAAAATGTGTTAATTCTCTCATGATTAATGCTGATGAAACTTGTTCCCAGGGTGAGGTCTCCTACATACGCGTGAAGGAGGACTACGGAGGAGGCGGCGGCGGCGCCGACAGGTACAGCGGTGATCGCGATAGGTCAGGACTCCACTCCCTTTTTTTTTATTTATTTATTTATTTAATTTATTTATCATCATATCAGCCTTTAACTGTCCACTGTTGAACTTAAGCCTCCACCTTGGGGAGTTTTCCCATTAGTTGCCATGCTTGGCAGGTGGATTGGCAACCGCAGTCAGGCTTTAGAGATGTTTTTAAGAGGGATGCTATTGTCTCGCCCTCTCTTATTCGCCTAGTTTACCAGAGGGAGACTGTACAAAAATCGTTTGCTTGGGCACCTCTGTCGCATTCGTGTTTCAACCGTAAAGCAGTTGTGTTTGCATGGCTGTGTTTCGGTTTGAAGGGTGAGATATGGCAGTGAATTTACAGGGTACAGAGGAAAAACGCCTGAGCCCTCAGGAATGGCAACGCATGGGGGTATCATGGGCAAAACAGTATACTCTGTTATATCCATGGTACTGCTCATGTCTATAGGCGACATCAGGTGGCCCGTCAGTTTGTTTGCTATTCTAAGTTGTATAAAAAAAAAGTTGCCTCTGACTACACCTACGGGAAAGAAAGGGGTGACCTATTCTATGCTGGGACCACACTGCCAATTTTTATTTTATGTATGCAACTATATCTATTTACATATAACAACAATAGATCCTGTTTAACCCTTCTTTACAAGATTTTTTTATTGGTGAAATAAATCAAGGTGATATAATTCATGTTCAAAATTAAAGGAAAAATGGTTAAAAAAATAAATTTGACAGCTATGGTTTTTTTTTCTGCAATGGACATTAAAAAGGTATCCAGACACGAGCAACTTAAAGTGAACATGTTCTTTTATATAATTTTTGGACATTCAATGTTATGATGGGAATTTCCACTATTATGCAAAGAAGGATTAACTTTATTCATTGTATGTAAATCAATGTGACATACACTAGAACTACATTTAAAAATTGTCTTCAACAAAAAAACTACTTCATTTGTGGCAAAATAAGTTATTTTGATTTAAAAACTAAACTACTGAAACGATTTTAATAAAAATATTTTTTTTTTGATAAAAGAATTTTCCGAAATGTTTAAGAACAAAGTTATGAGGTAACAAACATACTGTGATCATTCATACCTTGTATTTGAGGTGCATAACGTAATAGTTAAATGTCCCATCAACTTTAGCTGCTGTATAATATAATAAGCAATGTGATTCGTGTATGGTGAGGTGGCTTTATTTTTATGAATGAAAATGAAATGGTATCCCCGTCTGCATTATTAGTGTACGTTAGCGGGGCACCAGTAAAGAATAATAGGTGATGATGAAAACAGATCAGTTAGCCCATCGTGAATTCGACAAAAATTAAACACGATGGTTTCCAGGAGAAATCGCATGGAGGTCGATTCCTATAAGGACTAATTGACCTGCTTCATCCTCACCTATCATCCTTTACTGGTGCCCCGCTGGTGTATACCGATAGCGCGGGTGGGGTTTACTATTTCATTATCACCCACCAAAAAAAAACCCTGCTAACGGTATACACTAGCGGGGCATCAGTGAAGGATCAAAGCAGGTCAGTTATTCCATCGTGATGTTTACGCCTGGAATTGATCACGATTGGTTTCCAAGGGGTGCCACGTGGAGGCTAAGCAGGCAGGGTACATTGGTAACGAGGTGGTGTAGACATGTATAGCGGGCGTGCAGTGCATATGGCGGTGGTTGTTGCAGGTCGCGGTCGTACTCGCCGCGGCGGCGCGCGTCGCCCACATACTCGCCGGTGCGCCGCTCGTATTCGCGCTCGCGCTCGCGCTCGCGTTCGCCCTACTGAGCGCTCGCACACGCAGGTCGGTGCGCAACCTTATGTATTTCATACCCATACCACACACGTGACCAATACTGATACATTAAGAGCTCTCTACTTATAAATACAAGATATGTATACAGGGTGGCATCGAAATGGTACGCTTTTTAAAGACTGTTCTACGAATGAAACTGAACATTTTCATCAATGAAATTGGGTAAATACATGTCATGTATATGTATGTGTGTATATATATGTATATATACAGAATTACATAATAATAGGTGAGTGCATATTTTGTACTGTATAGTGCCATTGGTACAGGTACAGGTGTTCTTTTTTCGAGAATTTTAATTGATTTTATGGTAACGTTTTTTTACTTAAAGAAAACAATTTTGAGTCTTAATGTAAACTACCAGTTTTATGGGATGGGTTACGTTAATTAACTTATTGTATATATGGAATAATACATTTAACTGTAAAGATTAACGTAGTAAGAAATACTGGAATTTTTTTATCATATTTAAAAGAAAATGTACAGTTTCACTGACAAATTTTGATATCACCCTGTATAAATTGACACACTATAACAATATTTATAGTAATTATTCCTTTGAATTTTACAAAAAATATTCTCAACTCGAATGTTCTTTTTTCGTATGTGTGTTTACTTGATCTCTTCACAATTCCAAATATATTTTTCATGATTATTTTTACCCAACTGATATTGGCTCTACACTAATTTTTTTATGATAAAAATCAATTTTTGTTTAAAAGTAAAAGTTTTAATATATGAAAATGCAAAAAAATAAATGTTTCACAGTAAACAGAAAAAAATTAATAAAATAAAAAAAATTGAATTTGAATATTTATGGGGTTCTTGCAAGCTTTCTTTTTTTATTTCTATCATAAATGTTGATAGAAATAAAAAAAACACCATGAATGAGATGCAAAGGAAAAATTCCCAGAAAAAGGAAAATTTATTCAAACTAGACATGTTTATAGCTGGCAAGCTTAATTATTTAATTGTAAGATTATTATGAACTGATGAAAATTGTGGACAATCTGACCAAAATGGGAACCGAAATTTTTTATTTCCAATCAAATGTTAATTAAGGAATCTACTGTTACATACAAGTAACAAAATAATTAATGCTTTACTTCTAATATAATTAATAATTGAAAATAGTTTAAGTGCATTAAAACACTCCAGCTTCAACTGTAATATGGCTGGCTCATCATAATTATGCCTTTAAAAATATATTTTCAGAACACTGGACAAACTGCACCAAGTAAATAGTTTTATATATAAAATAATTAAAACAATGACATATTGACCCGGTCAGTGTATTTCATTATATACAAGCATATAATGTTTATTCGAGTATATATTATATATATAATTTTTGACATTCATGGTATAACAAATATGGAAAATACTGGTCGCTGTACACAGAAAAGTGCATATTTGATACTAAATCTATGTGAAATCTGACCTTGCACATTTTACTTTCCAATAGTCCCTGTATTTATATTTATAATATATAGCATTTATATATTATATATATATATATATATATATATATATATATATATAAAACTATGTAAGCTATCACGAATAGTACAAACTCTTCTTAGTTTGGTGCTAAACAGCGCTCTGTAAATGTCCAGTGAGTAATGATAGGGGAGGATCAAGTCAGGTCAGTAAGGCGATCACGATAATTTCACCGGAAATTAAACGCATAACGTCATAGTTGTCAGGAATGGCAACGCATGAATGGTAACATGAGCACAATTGTATATGCCGCTGTTCATGTCTAAGCGACAGTGACCACTGTCATAAAAGAGGAGGCACTGTATGAAGGTAGATCCAAGTTTGTATGTTATTATAAACGCTGGTCAGCGAGGTGCTTACAAAGTGCCATTGCGCACGTGCTACATGAGGTGTGGACATGTGACCGACTGGAGATGTTGTTGACAGCGCGAGCCGCCGCCGCCGCCGCCGCCGCAGCCGCCGCCGCTATACTAGCACTAGCCCTAGCACTAGACTGTACCTAGCGTAGCTCGACCCGCTGCGGCCTCTACACGCTTATCTGTACGATATTTAGCCTCATCCTAACATATACATCGTATATATCGCCCGTTTTACTCATTTGAATGTTTTTCAAATTAGGCGGTAGTTTCATAAAAAATTGACAATTTGTATATTAACGAACTATCCCCTACGGGGGTAGGTAGATGCTATTAGAATGGCCAGGACGATGTAAGTCTTTCATATCATACAGTTGTGATCTACTTCGTCCGAGCTGTTGTAATACAAGTTGAAGGACAAGTTTGTTTAGTATAAGGCTAAGAATTCTACAGATAATATATATATATATATAATATATATATATATATATATATATATATATATATATATATATATATATATATATATATATATATATATATATATATATATATATATATATATATATATATATATATATATATATATATATGTTATTTTTTTTTAAATTGATATTTTTACTAATTATAAATAAGACTAGCAATAAACACTGTCGGGGGCCGCGACGGGCCTCGTTTCTCTGTAAATTAATGATGACATCACACTATGACTGTAATAATTAAATAAGTTTTCTTTTGTTTCATCCACTGTGGATTGGGATCATTGGATGTGCTTGGCTGGAGGTGTGAGTCAGGATGCCTAGGATCGGATCGGATCGGATCAGGGACGGATCGGACGGACGCGTGTTAGTGTCGGATTGGATCGGATCGGATCGGATCGCAGTAGGACGGTGCCGGTGCACTCTCGCACGCAGAGGATCGTACCGAAGGATCTCGGATGTGGGCAGTCAGGTTGTCGGATGCGCCGAACGGACCGTACGGACGCCAGGATCACGGATCTTTGGGTATGATTTTGTAATTATTGCAAATAACTTATGTTGAGTGCACGCTCGGTACGGACTATATTAATGTTTGATATCCTTAACTCACACTTTATTTGCTTCTCGTTGTCTGCGTTTATTTCTAGACGTAGGTGCGACGGTTAGAAGTGACGAGGTGCTCAGCTTGGCTCATTAGTGTCACACCTAACATATAAATGTCATGTAATATTTAAGCATGCTTTTTCTGAGCTTTCATACGTCGCGAGAGGTGAGTTGTGAGGGTGTGGAGGCGAGCGTGGTTTGAATGTGACGTGGCCTGGTGTTGTGGCCGACGAGTATGACCGGGACTCTGGTTGCGAGACATTAGTACACATATAATTATGTTAAATAAATTCAAACTGATCACAAATTGTACCATAGTGTCGGCTGAGCGTCGACTATTTGATATCATAGTTTTAATGACTGGACATGTATTTAGGTAGGTACTGGATTGCATTCCAAACACCGTACAGTTTGATGGATTTAATAAAAATTCTTTAAAACGTACCTGTACATTTTTATTTTACCTTATAATCTTAAGGTGCGTGCAGACAATGCGACTCGCTAAGCGTTTGAACTTGCAAAGCGACAATATTTAATATTTTTTCTCTTGCCTTGCAAGTTGTTGCACTGTCTGCACCCGCCTTTACAACAATCCAACACTACAAACGTAAATAAATATCATCTATAATTTAAACCCTGAGTGGATAGCGCAGGTGCCGAACGTAAGATTCTCGTAGGTGACTTGTCTGAATCCGGCGTCCTCGATCATAGTCTTGAATTTTTCCTGTAACGATTACATTTGTAATTGTATTGATGTCATACAAGTTGGACAAAAAAAAACAGGTGCATTAACCACTTCCTTTTGCTAATTGGTCAGCTATTTGATTTCCATGAATATTTGAGTGACCAGGGGATCCATGTCAAGATGATGTCATGTCTGTTGCCCAAGTCATTTAATATCATTATGCAGTTCTTTATAAGCTTAATTTTTGTACTGTCAAGTGCAAGTAATGTCGATTGACTATCCGAGTAAATAAATATAATATTGTTTGTGAAGTTAAAACTTAGATTCAGTTCTACACATCTTATTATGGTCATAGTTTCGGCCTGGACGATTGTGGCACACTTACCTAAGTTTAAAGAGCTGTGGACTATTGGTCTAATACCATATCCCACATTTAAACATTTTAACACAAAAGTATATTACATTTAAAACATATATAAAAATCGGTAAAAAAACTTTTAAGTTAAACGGTTTTATTTTATGTGCACTGAAAACTACAAAATAAATAAATAGTTACTTACCTATCAACCTACGTAGGTGATCTCGGTCATTAATTTCTCTGATGGTAGTGGTTGTCATAACATGAACCATGTCAGCGGCCGAAAGGCAGTTCATGAGAGAACACTAACACCAGGGTTTGCTTGGTAGGTAAACTAAGCAGCCCGCACTATAACAAGTAGGTATTTTGACCTTCTAGTTCAGAAATATTTTAGTACTAGGCAGAATAGCTTTTAGGCATATTAGACTAAAATAAAAACGTGGGGCCCATTAACTATTTCTGTATTACTTTCTACTATACTAAGTGTGGATTGCATCGACTTATTATAATCGTCATCATCATCATCCTAGCGGTTTATCCCGGTCGCATCCGAAACCTCATAGCTCCGGAGTCCAGGGTCCGCTGAATCGACTTACTATAATCGTAACTGGAGGTTTTGACCATCAATAACCAGCCGTTACGGCTTCACCAGCGAACGCCGAGCTCATGATCTACCAAAGTATAAGATATGCTCTGCTATAGGTATGATTTCAGAGGGGCCCCACGTTTTTATTTTAGTCTAATATGCCTAAAAGCTATTCTGCCTAGTACTAAAATATTTCTGAACTAGAAGGTCAAAATACCTACTTGTTATAGTGCGGGCTGCTTAGTTTACCTACCAAGCAAACCCTGGTGTTAGTGTTCTCTCATGAACTGCCTTTCGGCCGCTGACATGGTTCATGTTATGACAACCACTACCATCAGAGAAATTAATGACCGAGATCACCTACGTAGGTTGATAGGTAAGTAACTATTTATTTATTTTGTAGTTTTCAGTGCACATAAAATAAAACCGTTTAACTTAAAAGTTTTTTTACCGATTTTTATTTTCTTGTTTTTAGTACTTAGTGAAATTGTTTACCGAATATTCCTCATTTTATTTAATTCATTCAGTGCATCATTATTACATGGTTTCTTACCTGATAATTTAGTACAATCTAATTCCTCAATACATAGCCCTTCCAGAGACTTGACTCGACTTAGAGCCACGTATGCTTGTCCTTCCTCAAACCATTTTGAGCCCAAATATACTACTGCATGGTCAACGGTGCTGCTCTGCATTTTATGGACGGTGAATGCTCATGACAAAACTAAGGGCAACATCCTTTTTTCAGCCGTACCATAATTGAATTTTGCTGGAAACTGTATGGCTTTAGGGTAAATAACGTGCATGCCGTCTGTGCCAAAGTCAATTAAAACTGATGATATATCTGTTTCGTACATTTGGGTTCGACGGAACTGAGGCCAAAAATTTTCTGTAATGTGGCCTATAGCGTCATTTACCAATCCTTTTGTAACGTCAATGTTGGACCGCAACATTACTTTTGCACCTACAAATATTTCAAGTACTGATGGTAAGCCTCCAGTCTTATTTATATTTGTTGGTATTTTTTGTCTGGTGTTTAGTGTCTGAGTGTCGAGTGTCGAGTGTCGAGTTTCGAGTGTCTAGTGTCTGGGTGTCTGAGTGTCAAGTGTCTGAGTGTCTTATATCCGAGTGTCGGAGTGTCTAGTGTCTAGTGTTTAGTATTTGAGTGTCGAGTGTCTAGTGTCTGAGTGTCTAGTGTCGAGTGTCGGGTGTCGAGTGTCGAGTGACGTCGAGTGTCGAGTGTCTGAGTGTCTAGTGTCTGAGTGTCTAGTGTCTGGTGTTTAGTGTCTGAGTGTCGAGTGTCGAGTGTCAGAGTGTCTAGTGTCTGGGTGTCTTGTATCCGAGTGTCCAGTGTCTGAGTGTCTAGTGTCTAGTGTTTAGTGTCTGAGTGTCGAGTGTCAAGTGTCGAGTGTCGGGGGTCGAGTGTCTAGTGTCTGAGTGTCGAGTGTCGAGTGTCTAGTGACGAGTGTTTAGTGTCTGAGTGTCGAGTGTCAAGTGTCGAGTGTCGGGGGTCGAGTGTCTAGTGTCTGAGTGTCGAGTGTCTGAGTGTCGAGTGTCGAGTGTCTAGTGACGAGTGTCAAGTGTCTAGTGTCTGAGTGTCGAGTGTCTGAGTGTCTTGTGTCTGGTGTTTAGTGTCTGAGTGTCGAGTGTCTAGTGTCTGAGTGTCTAGTGTCCGAGTGTCTAGTGTCTGAGTGTCTTGTATCCGAGTGTCTAGTGTCTGTGTGTCTAGGGTCTGAGTGTCTGAGTGTCTAGTGTCTGAGGGTCTAGCGTCTGAGTGTCTAGTGTCGAGTGTCGAGTGTCAAGTGTCGACTATACACATGAGCAGTACCATGGACATAACAGAGTATACTAATTTATAATTATACTTATTTATAATTAATACTGAATACTAAAGTCTAGTGTCTAGTGTTTAGTGTCTGAGTATCGAGTGTCGAGTGTCTAGTGACGAGTGTCTAGTGTCTAGTGTCTGAGTGTCGAGTGTCTGAGTGTCTTGTGTCTGGTGTTTAGTGTCTGAGTGTCGAGTGTCGAGTGTCTAGTGTCCGAGTGTCTAGTGTCTGAGTGTCTTGTATCCGAGTGTCTAGTGTCTGTGTGTCTAGGGTCTGAGTGTCTGAGTGTCTAGCGTCTGAGTGTCGAGTGTCGAGTGTCAAGTGTCGACTATACACATGAGCAGTACCATGGACATAACAGAGAGTGTCAAGTGTCGAGTGTCGAGTTTCGAGTGTCTAGTGTCTGAGTGTCTAGTGTCTGAGTGTCTAGTGTCTGGGTGTCTGAGTGTCAAGTGTCTGAGAGTCTAGTGTCTGAGTGTCTTATATCCGAGTGTCGGAGTGTCTAGTGTCTAGTGTTTAGTATTTGAGTGTCGAGTGTCGAGTGTCGAGTGTCTAGTGTCTGAGTGTCGAGTGTCTGAGTGTCTAGTGTCTAGTGTTTAGTGTCTGAGTGTCAAGTGTCGAGTGTTGGGGGTCGAGTGTCGAGTGTCGAGTGTCGAACGTCGAGTGTCGAGTGTCGAGTGACGTCGAGTGTCGAGTGTCGAGTGTCGAGTGTCTGAGTGTCTAGTGTCTGGTGTTTAGTGTCTGAGTGTCGAGTGTCAAGTGTCAGAGTGTCTAGTGTCTGGGTGTCTGAGTGTCAAGTGTCTGAGAGTCTAGTGTCTGAGTGTCTTGTATCCGAGTGTCCAGTAGACACTGGAGTGTCTAGTGTCTGGATGTCTGAGTGTCTAGTGTCTAGTGTTTAGTATCTGAGTGTCGAGTGTCGAGTGTCGAGTGTCTAGTGT